GGTGACATCCACATGGCAGCACGTGTTTTGTCCCGAGACAGGCAAGAAACTGGAAAGCTGGCTAAGACTGGAACACAGAGCTGCTTTCAACCGCTCCCCAAACAGCTTGAGCATTAATTCACGATTCCAGCGTTATTCCAGACTTCATAAGGATGCTCACAATATACCTCCTCTGTTCCTGGCCTTGGGCTCCAAGCATTAAGTGCTGTTTCCCCAGCAACATTAAATTCTGTGTTGGAAATGGTCAGAAATGTTGTGTTCACTAAATACACTTATTTAAATCCGAGATAACAGAAAACTTTCTATTACTTGCTCCGCGGGGGAAGATTTTTGTTGCTGTTGCCAACTTGGACACACCAATCTCAATTATTTCAGTGGTTTATGTATTAGGAACACTGCTTCAACGCAGCGTTTGGTGCAGCTTTTTGATTGGTATTTTCATTTCTTTCTTTACCTTGTTTGATAGAATTTTATCTTGAGTGTAGAATTACTCCAGGATAGAATTTCATCTGAGGATTCTGGCCAGGACATTGTGCTTACAGTTATTACAGTTTAGAGTGTTACCTGAGGCTCCAAAGAAATAAAAAGGCAATATTTTTCCTCTTTATCAATTATGCATATACTTTTCCTGGAACAATCTATGCACCAATAGAGCATCTCTGGAGGAGCTTCTTGGCATTCTGGCTACTTGCTATTAAGGAAGGGCTGAAAATCAGATTTAATCAGTCTTACCAGAAGGAGTTGGAGAGCAAACGTGCCCTCACAAAACTGTCCCCTGGGCTCAGCTCCACACCATCATCTCTTGCATAATCAGCACTTACACTACACACAGAAGCTCTGATGCAGATCAGGGATCAGAAGTCTGCCCTCTCCACTCCTACGGCCATCGCTTCTCATGTCGGTACCTCATAGGCGTGCTTAATCCCTAGGAGCAGGCATACATCAACACTCTTCAAGTTTGCAGACAAAAACGTGGAGCTACTCAGAGGTTAAATTACTTGTCTCACACCAAGAAACAGAGGATTTTAAAGTGCACATCTCTGCTTTTTCCACTAGAACAACACCTGTACTGTGTTTTGTCAGGTACGTGTTTTAGCCTGTATCCATAGCACAAGTAAGGAAAGCAGCCAGCCACCCTCCTTAGATGTTTCACAAGAACAGATAGTTACCTCTGTGACCGGCTTTCACAGTCACTGCTCCCTGTGGTATTTCACATTTAAAATGCCTATGTGTTACTCCGCAAGCTTCACAACAGAATCCAGCTAACATTTGTTTTTCCACAGCCTTACTTAAATTGATGCCAGAGGGTCATCTCTAAAAGATTTTAGTGAGCTAAAATACCCCAACCAAACAACAAACCCCAACCCCCCATCAAACAATCAGAGGAAAGGAATAAAAATGAATTACTAAATACATTCACTGAAATACAGACTAGTTGAGAATTAAGTCCTCTCTCTGTAATGCAAAATGAAGAATCCAGTACAAGACAACTTATCAGTTAGTGGGCAGATCTGGGTGAACTTTAAGACTGAGGATCACTGACATTACATTTTTGACCATAGTCACCACAGTACGGTTTTACCATCTTTGCTATTTAATTTCAGCAACAGTGTGCTCACCACAGGATTCCCCCAGTGTCTCCATCTACACGTACATTATTGCTGCGTATTTCTCTGCTTTCGGATGAAGTAATTCTTAACCCTGTGTCCAGCTTCTACTAGCTACTATTGCTCACATGGCACAGAGATTGTAGAAAGGGGAAAAGATCCCTCAAGACTGAGACTGTGCGGTGTTTGAGGATTACAGTCACCAACAGCCAAGATTTAATGTGATAAACCTCTATGGTTTAGGCATAGCAATGGTGGAACTAGTGTCACCCTCGCCCTCCTATAGGTTACAATCTTGTAATTAATCTTGCCTTTATCTTTTCTATGATACTTAAATACGCAGGAAACCGTGTTGGTTTGACAAGTTAGCATTCTTGTTGTTATTCTGTATGTTTCCCAAGGCTACAAAAGAGACACTGGCTTCCCATACCAAGATGTTACCTTACAGAAAAATTTCTTCTTGTTCAAAACCAAATTGGTTTTAACTCCCACAATAGAAGATGATCACGTATTACAAGATGACACATTCCCACTGGGGATGTGGATTTAGGAAAAAGCTGAGCAGCAGGCTCACAAAAAGCTAAGCCCTAAAACCTTTAGTTAAAACATCCTGTAAAGAGGATTGGGTTCAGCTCCATCAAATCCTCTACACAAACACAAAAGACAGCGTCTGACGGAAGACCTTTTGAAATGGACAATCAGACTTCAGGAAATTAAAAACCTGTGAAGAACTGTAAGGGAACAGGTTAAAAGAGCTGCACGACATCCCAGTTTAACATCTGACGCGTACGGTGCATCACTGTGTGATGTACTCTGGCTGACAGGCTGCACTCAGTGGGAGTCAGGCACGCACCTAAGAGCCTTGTGAATTGGGTCTGGAATGAGGCTTATGGAAAACTTGAGTACTTATACAGGAGCTTCTCTGCCAACACCTGCGTTTAAGGCAGTCCTTAACGCACTTATTATTATGCCCAAGCTTCTGCAGCTACTGCCTGAGGGTGAAATGACTCTGGCCAAAGGCAGCAGAGCAGTTGGCAAGGGCTTGAGTAACACCTCTAAATGTGCCACTGCTCTTTAGCTGAGCCACGTGAATTAGCCACAGTCAGGCTCCTACCTAAGCTGCAACTGCGAAAGGCACTTTGGTATCTAAGCCACCATCAAGAGGCAGCACATCTGACTTTCTGCTCTCAACAGGGTAGGCTCAGAGAAGATCAGTTCCCAAGGTGCTGCGGTGTGCCTTTTCAGGCAGCAGTAACCAGGTCGTCTGCAACCATCTGCTCTTCGCCTCCGTCTCCCCGTGGCCAACACCGAAGCTGTGCACCGATTAGTTCTCAGCTGCTAACCAGTGGAAACACCCTCTGGAACTCACGACAGTCAACAGCCTCTGGACTCCTGAGGGGGAGATGTCATCACCAGTAAAGGTGAGAGAAGATCCCCTGCGAGGCTTCTGACCTGCCTCATGTGCAACAGCCCTGAAAAGAACATGGTACTCTTCATCTCATTCCTCAGGCAACGAACAGGGGGCACATTCACAACTGCCTCCAGCTCTTCAGCAAGGTATTCGGGCACCGTGTTAGTTTTCATCTGAGGAATCAAGCATCCAAATGCTTGGGGATCTGAACTTGGAAGACCTGCCTGAGCTCTCATGGGAAGTCTGTGAGGGACCATGGAACTAAACCGTGTTTTCCCAAGTCCTACGTAAGCACTCCAACCACTGCAACATCTCTCCACGTAGCTTTAAATAGGGCGAGTACCTTACTGCAATGTCATTGAAACTTCATCTTAAACTGTGAGATTAGTACGTAGCTCCAAGCCAGAATGGCTGTGTTTCATTTGTCCTGAAGACTGAGAAAGCAAAACTGATAATACCATATGCCCTTCAAACCTACCAGCTCTAACTAATGGCACAACTTTGTCCTTCCTTGCGTACATGTGTTCCATGGATACATCTACTATTCCTTCTGCAAGTTAAAAAAAAAAACAAAATAAATCACATTCTTCAAATGAGTCGATTTTAGCTTCATGGAATGATCCTGCTTTTAAAACCAAACCGCTGCATTATCACAGTAGTGTTACTTTGACTTAATGGGCATTGTAAAAGGAGTCAGAGGAAAAACTCACGTAGATAAACAGTGAAAGAAAATATCTGTAGGCCCATGAAAGGTGCTCAATGAGAAGCAAATGGCAAGGGATTATGATCTAGTTTCACCCCTGCTGGTTGCAATTCTGTACCACAGTACCTCAGCTATTGCTCAGAGCAGTACCATTTGTGAGGTGCGAACAGCATGCAGCATTCATACAGGGCATGTAGAGTCCACACTAAATAAAGTCAAAATAACAGCTCACAGAAACTCATGAACACTGTAACCACTGTGAACAGCGGTGAGCTAAACAGGACAGCTCCTGAAGTACAGCAAGGACAGTTCCCAAAATACCCCCTATGCAGCACTCTCCCAGGGACTGCTCATGGTTGTCAGCTCACCTGTACTCAGCTGCAGCCAATCAATAAGGTATGTGAAACCCTATCAGCGAGGATTAGATGTAATTCTAAGGGATACATTCTGTAATCCCTGCTTTTCACAATGCAGGACAACTGTATAACACAGCAGAAGTAAAGCAACCAGAAAATGAGATGCTTAGAGACTGACTTTTTGGGGTTAGAGGGTCATATGTAGTGTATCTCAGGCTTGCAGCTGACGCTGCAGGGATGCAGCCAGGCATCTCCGTGCAGCTGGTTGCAGGGTCAGGGGCTAAAGGCCATGCAGGTACGACATGAAAATGCACTGTGCCCTGGATCCAAGTATGGTAACGTTCAAAACCAGGATCCCAAAGAAAATTGCCTCATCTTTATGAAAAGCAGAGGTCATCCCTGCACACATACATTAAAAATACTTCTTTTGGTGCACAAAGAAAAAGAAAGCTGAAAAAGAAAGAATAAAAATCGCTGTGAACAGCTCTGGGATATGAACTGCAGGTGTGAAGAGGAAGAAAAAGCAGAGAAATCAGCACTGAACTCTTATGCAGACCTGCACCTGAGCACTGCAGACTTACTCTTCCTTTTTCTCCCAGCAACACGCTAGAAGTGATAACTCAAACACTGTGCCTGACCTTGTCTAAGCACCGATTAAAACACATGTGGGAGGCAGAAGGGTCAAGGGCTGGTTGTTCACAACTCCTCACAGGAGTCTGCTTCACCCAAGTTTTCAATGTGCTTTTAAAGGTGCGGGTGAGGGTTTACCCTGACACGGCTCCGATACAGAGTGCCAGCGCTGTGTGCACCCTCTCAAACCATTTTATCAGCAAAAAGGAAGCAATGTCTGCTGGTAACAGCTAAAGATCACGTTCCAATTTCACCAGTTGCAGTTAACTCGTTCCCAATGGAGTTACACTTACCCTGAGAAGGTTTCTAACTGCTTCAGCACTGAAAGGAAACAAGCATCGAGTCATTCATCTGCAGTTCTACGTACAAATATGCTTTTTGGCCCATGAAGGGGAAGCATATGGAATCTGCTGCTATAACCCACTCAGCCAAACACGTCCACACATTTCTTGAACTGCAAATGCTGAAAGAAATTCTCATTTTCTAGTGTTTTGGCTGTCCCTACACAGGTCAGATCACCAGCATGCACGTGCATTCTGATATGGACAGAGAATGCGGATAGGAACTGCATGCACACTGCATACTGAGAACTGGTAAGAATGGTTTTAATCAACAGATACACTTCCCTTGACAGCCAACAGCCAGAGTCCTGATCTGATCCACGGATTATGTCTTAGATAACAAACCAGACATTAAGCTGATACATTACATTTTCATTAAACTTCTGGGGACCATAATATGAACTGTCCATTTTTCCCCATTATTCTCTACCTCGCAGAATGGTGCTTCGGTATAAGAATTTAATTTTACACAACATAGTAGTTTTCCAGGTTAATTTCTAACAGGGCCTACAACAGAATCCGCATCACAGCTTGTCAACAGAAGGGGAATAAAACACAGAAAGCTTCTTTACAGCAAAGGTGATTCAGCACAATTTCCTGGATCAAATTATTTTACAGTTATGAGACTTCTGGTTGATCCTCAAGCATGCACTTAATGCCAGGAAATAACATCTAGGTTTATTAAAAACAAGTACGGAGACTTCCTTGATGAGCAGTGATAAATGTAAGGCTCTTTATAGCATGACTTTTCCAGATCTGCACTGCAGAATAAAACCATGAGCAAGTTATTTCACAGCAGGCAATGAGAACTCCTTTTCCCTTCAAAAAGGGTAAGACTAAAGGAAACACAAGAATGTTCACTCCAGCAAAGCTCAACATAAACCTATGACGTGATGAAAGAGCAGAACTGAGGGCATCTATAGTTACTGGCAAAACTCACTGTGAGCACTGAGCAGGCTCCCAGGTAGTCAGGAAGGGGATCTTGAGATGGACAGAGATACAGATTAATTGAGAAAGTCATACGGGTGATTCACTCATGGCACTAACATGCAGGCAGGTGCAGACTCACGCTGTCCCTTCCCCAGCCTGGCCATGGGCTGGGCTCTGCAGAAGCCTCAGCATACAATAGGAATTATGCTGGCATTTCTCCCCAGACGTGCAGGCACCGATACCCAGCAGGGGAGGGAACCGCGCTCAAACAGCTGCAGCTTCAAACCCAAGCTGAAACGTATGAGGATGCACATCACAATGGAGATAAAACACACTCCTGTTCTACCCTGAAGGTAGGCTGAGCTTAGATGTGAACGCCAGCCTTTCTGTTTCAATGGTACATACATGCTCACACTACCCTATAAGAATACCTGCAGGCACTGTTGAGCTATGGCCTGAGTGAAGGACAGGGCCCTAAAAATCCCACGGGAACTCCAAGGGTTACCTCGGAGAGCTTACATGACACACGCTTTCCACAACGATTTTCACTGCTCTGAATATTTAGCTCCCTCCACGTCCATTGCTACAAGGATCTCAAATCTGTGAGCAATCAGGTAGCTCATAATCAACGCTGCGGAAATGCGACCGCTGTTTTAAGTTTGGATGGGGGAAAGGTAATGCTGATTTCTTTAAAAGTATCTTCCCAAATAGAGCTATAGGCATAACTAGATATATTCACCTTATCTAGGGATGGATAATTTAGAATGCTCATATGCATCTTTGGCTTGGTTAGCATCGAAATAGGCACTTCATGTAGCTCAGCAGCAAGAATATTACATTTTTTTCCTCAGATAATATCAACTGATTCTTGCAGTGTAATTTTTAGCTAAATGTCTGAGAAAATGTACCCTCTGCGCTCCCTGCTTGATGTTTTTATGGAAATACGCATCTTAAACATTAATTCACTGCAAAACCAAAAACGTCTTAGGCTGGAGAAGGGAAAATTGTTGTGGACTGCTGGAAACAAAACCTTACACTGAAAACCAGCTACCCCTTCTGCAGGCTGTAATTATACCTCCAAATCTTTCCCCTTTTGCTGTAATTAGCATGTGTCTGCCTTCCATGCATTTTTAGTGAGCACATACACATGATAAAACAGCCTGGATCCTGACGCAGCACGGAACAAGTGCCCTGAAGAACAAGTTGTTCCCTTGACTCAAATGGGGTGATCATTGTTCAGAACACATTTAAACACCCAACACTGCAAGCTGGCAATTGATCTTTTGATTCCTCTTCCTCTCCCTCATCTCGAGGCAGGACGGGATAAACTGTGTGCTGCCTCCTCACAAACGTCTCCTCCCTCAGTATCTCTTCCCATCACACTTACATTGCACTCAACTCTGTCACGGCCATGCTCAGCTACACAAACTCCTATCACAGGTCAGGCTGGCTGCCAGGGACTAGTGCCTGTTCCCTCTTCCTCCTCTTCCCCAGAAGAAGGGGCATCAGTGCTTTCCAGCAGCAGACGCAGGGAGTGCTTTCCACTTCGAGCTACGAAGGCTGCAGGCAAGTGAGAGCTGAGAGGAGAACGGGCTACACCGTCTCTTCTAATTAATCCTGGACTAAGAGTGCAGGGAGTTAATCTCTCCCCATGAGATTTTAAATCATTAACATCAACTTCTAATGATGTGGAGGAGACCAGCAGCCAGACCAGCTGAGAACAGTGAATGCTATCGCTCCGGGCTTGATACCAGAAGCCTAAAAGCTCATCATCCTCCTATCTGAATGCTCTCTGAACTGTCACATCCAAAGCAAAATGGAGTGCCATACTGAACTGAGCTTGAAATAGCCACCAAATTGTCACCTACTAGTATTTTAACTCATCTAGCTGAGCCTACCACAAACAGGACTAAACAGGCAGCACATTTTCCTTGGTTAGCTCTACTTCTACATCTGTTCTTTCTCTTCCTTCATTTTATTATTTACATTTTTGCTCAACTACCAGCTTTTTCAGGCTTCTGAAATCACAGAAGTGAGGAGCAGTCTGATGTCACTTGCCATAATCAACCCCTTACTTAAGCAGGCTTTTAAAGGGTTTTAAATAACAGGACCAGCAACCACAGCTTACAGAAGCAGATTAGAGCTTCTTGTCTTAGTCTGAATTAAAGTGGGGAATGGCCAGATCTTAGCAGGGGAAGAACAGAACAGAGGAGCCTACAGAAAACTAGTTTTTCTTCCTTGATATCCAGCTCTAATCAGCAAAGCAAAAACTCATTAGATTTTACCAATTAATCTAGGTAAATGAGAGACTGAAAAAGATGAGCATCTTAGTTGCTTTTAAAGGAAATCATAGGGAAAGATGCTACCTGCTGTTCATTTCTCTGTTGCGTGCGAATACTTCAGAGCATAACCTACATTGTGGACGAATTTACATTTTGCTGAATGATCAGAGGTGCCTTATTCTTCATTGTATGTGAACTGCAATTTAATAACAATTAAAAAGTTCTGATCTTTGCCACAGAGAAGTAGCCCTGGCTAAGTCCCATTAGTGAAATACTGACCATATCAGTACGCAAGCGATGCAAAGTTGGGTGTATCTTTTGCCATAACATTGCTCTTCACTGTAACAAAACCTCAAACAATAATGTCAAAAGGTGTTATTCAAATAGTGGATCAATAACATGTATGAAGTGAAGCCTCGTTCCCTGCTTAGATTTTATTCTCTTACCTGGTCTCTTCTGTAGCTATAAAGAAACCATCATCTGAAGCATCAAGCCAATTTTGCCTCTGTCTCTTGATCACTGGAATGGTGCTTGTCTTAATGGCACTTGCACTGGCTTGCAAGGCCTTACCATTAGTCATATGAACATGGGGAGCAGCATGCTGAAATCATAGTAAAAGGGAAAGATATTTGCCTGAGAATAAGCATAATTCTGTTAACTAATTCTCCTGTAAAGGGCACCCTACACACAGCACCCTTCTCAAAAACCAGCTAGTCTTCCTCAACCAGTACCTAAGGGTCAGCTAACACCCTGTGCACATCGACGTGCTTTAGCCACAGGTCTCAGAGCCCTTTAAAGACTAAACTAACTACTGCTAATGCCATTTTGCACAGAGAGAAATCGAGGCCTGAATCAATGCCATGAACTAAACAGCTCCTCAACAGAAACCCATTGATTTTAGGAAACAATTCATACTTTCTGAGCAAGAAAAAACCAGCATCCCAAAAAGTGAGAAATGAGACTTGTTTTGTTCATGAAGTATGGCGTTAATCTAATTTAAAAAAATCCATACTTCTCATTTCATAGGTCCTTATTCTGCCTGATTTTCTTTTCATATACAAGTCACTGAATAAGACAAAGGGTTTGGTCCTGCTGCTCACCTAAACAGCAGCAGGGTAACAAAGGTTTCTATCCATCACCTTACTGGTGCCATGGCTCTTAGGTTTACCCACCCATCATGATCCATTAGCACCTACTGCTATCTGTCTGCATTCGTTTTAAAACAGGTAACATTAAACACCAAGCGATGCATTCATTTTCCACTAAACCTTTACCTGGAATAACTGCAGTAAGTACTCAGGCCTAATGAGGAAAGCTGCCTTCTGATACATGAAAAGGAGAGAGCAAAAGTAACGTTTTCTGTATCATATATAGATAACATTTTGGAAGAACAGCCCATGACAAATATATTAATCTGGAAATTCAAACCCTGTTTCCCACATAACCGATTAGCAGCAGGACTGATATCACTGACTGGAACAGATACTATGCAAAGACATTATACAGAGATGGAAGTTGGCCCACTTTCTCTCACAAGGGTTCAACATCACGTTTTCTTAGGGAGAGGTGCTATTTTCCTGCTGAAAACACTGGTATTCCACGTCAGTGACAGCATTTTGCCATATTCCTGAAATGCACGCAGTGCTGCACATTGCTGGGGGTACCCTCTAATGAGGGGACCAATTCCACAGTCAGCGAGTAAGGAAGGGGCTGGAGATCCACAAAGCCCAGCAGAACAGAACACAAACCTCACCTCTTAGATGATGCCGTAAAACCAGGACAGCCCAAACTAATAATCAAGGGCCTCATTTCTTTTGTATAATTCTGACACTCCTATTCAAGCCATCACACTCACATTACGCCACAACTTTCAACCCATCCCAATCCAGTTTTCTTCAGCCAGGAGGACAAATTTTATGCTGCCTTTGATGAAAAATTCCAGTGTTCATTACTTTAGTGCAAGTGACTGAACCATCTCCTCTGTGATTCCTTAGACAAAAACAAGACACAATTTAAGTCATATATAACTCTTTCTTTGAGCTAATCTATTTTCCTTTGCCTTAGAGACAAACAAGGTTTATAGGTGAAGTTAGTTGCTGTTGCACATAGGGCTGTAAATCTACCTTTGCGGTCCCTCTATAAATACTTTTCCCATTTCTTCATTCAGTGTCTAGACTGCAGTTTGGTTTTCACATATTGGTTTGTATTGGGCTTTGGCGGAGAGGAAAAGCTAAAGACCGTGCTACTAGAAGAAACCCAGTTGTCAGAATAAATTTAGGATCAAATACAGAGCCTGGATGAAACTAGACATTCATATAGGTTATTTCCCTGGGGATCTCTTGGTGTACAAAGTGGATAATGCTCAAGGAGTAAAACTTCATGCATGTTGAACACTGCCATACATCAGATTTCACACATTATTTTTATCTGGCAACTGCCAGTGCCATACGTTACAGGGGAACATTTAAGGGCTCGAATGGCAATCTTTTGCTGCTTCCCCAGTCAGAAATGGGTTTACGTTATCAAATACAATGGTGTACCTCTTGCCAGGCTGCTTCCTAATACACCACTGAATGCTTCCTTCACTCAGGATACCATGCACAGGCCAAAAACGTTCAGGAAATGAACAAGGTACAAAAAAAACGTATTTTCTATGGCATAAATGCTGAAGAACAGTAAAGCCTGGTGGGAAAAGTATGTGCTTTTGCGGAAGACCTTTTCCCCTGACAGAGACAGATGTCAATACTAGTTCTGACCTTCTATTTTGTCTGCTTTTACTAGACCATAACTCTTATTCCAGGCAAGAGACAGCATTAGAGCAAATGGTGCAAGGGTCACGGTATAATCTACGTTGTGTTGCATCATACTGGTTAGGATTTCTTCTTTTCTTTGCCTTCTCCCCTGGTCCTTTCAAGCTGTTTGAAGAAATTAATGGCATTTTACTTCAGGGCAAGAGCAAAGAAGACCAGTGCTCTCCAGTCTGTGCTAGGGACCACATCAGCTTTCATTTCCAGGTAATTAAAACTATTGATGCTTCTTGGGTAGCAAATCGGTTCATTAGCTCCTCTAAAAAATGTATTTATCGTTGTGTACAAAAAGGGGCATTCAGTGCCACTGTCCTCAACGCCAAGGGCAAAATGAGCTTTCACACAAAGTACTTGCTCGATGTACTTTGTTCAGTGAGGAGGAGGAGGATGATTTTAGATTTCCCCCTGTCTAGCACACAGTTATGCCAAGAAGGTCAGGAAAGCCTCAGGAACACTACACCTGTGCTACCACAGAAGGCCTGTTCTTAAAAAAGCCCTGCACGCAGAAGGCTCCAACGGATTCATCCCAACACTGCAATGAGCAGCTCCGTTTTGACTGCTGCCTATGGACATCACCAGTAAGCCGTGCTGTGATTTTGCAGCAAAACCACTGGTATTAAGAGCCTGCATCACCAGTGGCAAATCACAGAGCAGGACCTGCACCCAAGCAGCAGGAGCTCTACCCAGCGTTTACCAACTGCACGTTGGACAAATCCCAGGTGCCTCTTTTCTCCCAGATTTTTCCTCCTCTCAACCCAGGTATGTTCATTGAGATCTCTTGTGCCTCTAAACTGTCCCAGGCCCAGAAGACATCATAAGGAAAGCTGTCTCTAAGCTTCTCAAGTTGTACCGGCGTAGAAGTGGCTGAACATTCATTCATTCACTGAGAGCCACTGATGATCCTGAAAAGAAATCCAGCTTTGAAATACAGACATAACACCAATAGGTGTTAAGAGTCTAGCAACTAATGGTGAAAGAAAACTCTCATCAGGCTAAGGGAGCTCTGGTTCAGGCAGTGTTACATCCTACAAAGAACACAAGTATGTAAGTCAGCACAGAGTTCTCCCTAGGAAGAGTTTCACCTGCTGAACAGGAGGTCTCCACACTGCAGACACATCCTCAGCAAGCTCTGAGACTTCCAAAGCCTTCAGTGAGGAGGAGCTCATGGGAAAACCGTTTGCTACAGTGCCTTTGCAGCTTCACCTGACCCCTGCTAAAACCCTTCTCTGGGGGCAGCCATTCTCAGGGACTTCTCTCACGGGCTGGAACACAGCTCAGCTTCTGAGGGCTGCTTGTGAGTGCTGCTCATCGAAACTCACCTGGCAGGGGCATGGGTTTTCCATACGCATTCATTTCCCAGTGGGCAACCTAGATGCCTCCAATGTTCCATGGATGCAGCAGTCCCTCTCGTGAAGAAGCTACACAAGAATGTGTTTCTTTGTCAAACCTTCTGGAAGCAGCAGCACAGAGTTACTAATTCCATCAGTCGCTTCACTCTAAATCAGGTCTTTAAATACTAAGCATAAGGCTTTGCAGGGTCAGGGAAACAGAAATGAGCTGTACAGCATCACCAGACACACGATGTGTGCTGCAGTGGCAGCTACCATCCCACAAAGTGTGGATACTATTCCCAAGACACTTACAAAGATACTCCACAAACACCCTGCATTAAAGTGGCAACTTACTGCATCTTCATTATGGAGGGTCAACCTCCTGTCCTCACTAGCTCCCTGGAAAATGTCAAGCACTAGGATGTGATGAAGCATGTTGGAAAGTCGAGGAGAGGAATCTTGTACAAGTTCAGGAACAGGACTCAGATCGCAAGTCACAGTTGAGGTTCCTGTCTCTATCAGCTTGCACTGGCATAGAAGTGCTCAGCACCGAGAGCCACTAAGGATTCTGAAATGCAAATCCAGCTCTGAAATACAGACATAACACCAGCAGGTGTTCAGAGTGTTAACACTAATGGTGAATGCTTATGCTGCGCCTGAAAGAATGTTTAACTGGACTATCACAAATCCCTAAGTGGCCCCAAACTTATGATCCCTTTCATTTTTCCCTGCCCTTTCAAAAAGGAAAAACATCCCCACTGCCTTCAAGGAGCAAATCTAAAGCTTTTGCTGCATCTTTAAACAACAAAATCAAACCAAAAGCAGCTAATTACATGGAGAGCAAGAAAAATCACTAGAAGAAATGGGGCCTGCTCAGATGATTGAACCATATTGACTGGTTGTGAATGCATTTTGCACTGACCTGATTATACTGAATTATGTCAAATCAGGCACTGACTATGTTTTGCCGCACCTGAAGCGTCCTTATTTGCAAAGGCATTAGTATTATACCTCTACTAAGCATTAAGGTTTGGGCCAGGTTTAGTAAATTCATAGAGATTTGAGGAATGCAGAAGCTGCAAGGCATGGTCTCCGCACAGCACGGAGCTGCAAGTGCTGCAGATGCCAGAATGGAGGCACACCTTCACTGGGGGTATAGGATTTCTTTTAAGAGACCTGAAGGCTGTTTAAAAGCAAAATACTTCCAAGCAACAGATCATACAGAAGAAATGAACTGGCCAAGCACAAGCATCGCTTTGGAACCTCCTGATTTGCTATCATTTATGTTTCACAAAACGCCCAGAAGAGATGTAACGCTGAAGATCCAAGTCAAGGACTTGTCTATGCAAGGGGAAAAGAACAATCCAACACACATAAACCAGACAACTGACTTTCCAAAGCATCTGGGCTAAAATACAACCATGTCTCCGGCCTCTGTATTTTACGGAAGTTACATAAAAGCTACCTAACCTCTGAATAAACCTTCCCTGTAAAAGCAGCATCTGAAAGTAAATACTTACTTGTATACTTCAGCAAATTAGTAATGAAAGACTAACCAGGGGAGCTGAGCACAGCATCACAGGAGATCACTTTTTATAGTTAGAACCCTCCCTCTCCTGCCCCCAAGCAGAACCTTAAACATAGTTCTAGATTTTAGGTTTCTGAACAAGAAACCGAAGCAAAACCCAGGGAGGTGTCACTGGATTTAAATACAGGAGAATTCTGGTAACGGCCTCAGAGGAACTGCACTTCTTTCTCCTTGGGGAAGTACAGTCTGCTCCTCATTGGCTTTAGTTTTAACAGAAACCGGACTCTTCAGAGACATGGTCAGATTTAATGCCTTACTTAGGTTACTCCCACACCTATAAAAGCTCTTTAAAGGAGTTCAAATACTTTGCCTTGGTGAGACAAATGCCTTTTTTCTGACACCAAAGTATCCGGGGCAGTGTACAGATTTGCTGCTACACCTCTCATGTTCTGACTGACTGAAGATTCTGCTTTGACTTTTTATCTGTTATATTAACCATCATCAGTCAGAAGAAGGGGGCTTTGTTTCAGAGTTATTCCTTACTGCAGTAGTCACTCGCAAATGGATCTCAGCAGCACTGCTTTATTTTGCCTGTACTGAGTAGATAGTCTCAGACTGTTTCTAATGTAAGGAATAGTGTATTTTCTGGCTTTACTAACACACTCCACCTCCTCATTGGAGAGTAAGGGATTTTCCATTACACATTCAGTTATGCTTTAATTGCACAGAAGAGTGGGCACAGTGTTATAACCTTTTCATACTAAGCAGAATACTTACTTTTGCTTGCACTTAAATAAAGTGCAATGGACAATTACTGCACACTGACTGCAGAAAATTAGTCTGAGCTGTCAGCAGAGAGATCTGGAGAGGTTCACAGCACAGGAACCTCAAGAATTCATGTTATTTAAACACCTTTCTCTTAACCCTTTAAAGTTTGGCACATTTTGATGTGAAGAGAACTTTTGCCACCTGTAGTCATTACCTTTTTATTGTCTATTTGCACTGGATCATTAATGACTATTGATGTTAAACCCGATGAACTGTATCTACCCTTTGTTCTCTGTTGAGTCAAGTATCTGTGAGGGAATGTGCGTGTCCAGCAAATGCTGCACATACAGAAGAGGTCATAAACTTGAAGGAACCCCCTGAAAACTGTAGGAATGAGAACCAACAAGCTTACACCATAGTTTGTTGGGTTTCAGCCTGAAAGTTCAAAACCTGCCTCAGAAAAAGGTCTTCTTCCCAAAGTGGAGAGCCCTCTTTCCAAGTATCTACATGAACCATTCCCAGTCAGAGAAAGGTCTGCTTTATGTGAATTGTTGTTCAGTCTTTATCTAGCTTTTATGAGGAGTCTGAAGCAAAGATTGGTAAAACCCTATAAAAACCCAAGACAGACACTAAGTTCATGACATTTTTACACACGGAATTTTTCCATCTCTTTCCTGAAGATGGATCTGTCTGGTTAACCGCTTCTCTCCTTCCAGAACCTGAACTATCAAACTCCAGGTACAGTCAAAGCCTGGCCTCCCAGGAAATCACTCAGCTGTTGTTCTCATCACTGAATGTGCTCTGACATGCAATACACACAGAATGCAAGAGGTTTCATCAACATTAATTTGACATCATCAAACAGCACTCACAAACCTGGGTTTTTCACCTATTCAAACTGACAGCACTGCTACTTGAGCTATTCAACCTCCCATTTTTCTCCAGTGAGGTGGCAGACTCATCTTGTCTATACAGTGATACTGGACTTTGTAAAAAATCATGCCACTGGCTTAGGATACTACCATATCCATTCTGTTTCCAAAGGAAAACCCCTATCTATAGACAGATTATAGGAGAACCTATAATCTCCTTTATACTTACCATTATTGTTCTTGTTGTATGGCTGGATGATTCTGGAAAACAAAAGAACCACAGTGGATTAGAGTGTTGTCTTTATCCATAAACCCCCTATTTTCTGATGCTCTACCTGAAGGCTACGATGCTGCACGTCAGCTATGACAATGAATGGATCAGAAATGCAGAAAGTGAAACGATTTCTCATTAAACAAGTGTGAGAATCATCACTGGTCCTGAAAGCACACAGCACACCCTGGTATGCTGTGAACTGCACTCATCTGTTTTGGGCAATTATCCTCTTCTGCAGGACAATATAAAAAATGGCAATAATTCGTAATTCATGTTTGAAGAAGTGGATTTTTTTCAGTCTGCTTTTAACAAATGGCATCATTTAACATGGGGGATTAGCTCTGCGTGGACAAGGAATACAAACAGCACCAGCATACTTCCAGTCTGATTCCCATTTGAAAAAGCTCTGTAAAACATGGCAATGCTTTCTCTGAGGATTTGGAGATGGACTCTTAGTTTGAAACTGACAAAATCTATGGAGAAATGTAACAACCGCAAATCGGAATTATTCTCTCCTATATGATAAATCAGGAGTCAACTGAACACACCATTATATTGATATAAAATCACTGAGGAATCACCACTAGGCCAATAGCGAACATTAATTTTACCCTGCTGTTTAAATTAAACTACATTTGCTCCCCCCTACCCCCCCAAAGACCAGAAATCTCAACCTCTTTGGCTTTAAAATGCAATAGTTGCCATATTAAAGCCGTGCTCTTTCTGGAAGCAGTACAACTTCAGGAACTAAACATCCTCCCAGCCAGTTAAGAAAATGCAAGGAAATTCACTGCTGATCTACAAGATGCAAGACAGTGCCATGAAGAATCTCACAGATTTCCTCAAAAATCTGGGTAAGACATCAGCTACAGTGCACAGACTTCTTAAGGAAGAGACATTTAGCAACGCTACATGCAGTTCTGGTTAAAATGTCCCCAGTTCAGCATGAATTTGATGTGCAGAGTCTCAATTCTGCAAGTGAGATAAATGTATAGTAACTACAATGGGTTACTCTTGCCCTGGTCCCAGATGATGGCTCTTATGGGGGTCCGAACTGGCATCACTTATACAAAGGATTCTCCAGCAGTTTTGCTATTGTTGGAAATAGTATTAAAGAGATTCCAAGGACATGACAAAGAGGAGCTGCACATCCTTTCCTGAAACAACTGTAATTACACTCTCAAACTGTTGTTTCTCTTTCATTCTGAAGAGTCACCTTAACCAGTCTGCAGGTATAGTTTAATCACTGACAGAAACAAAGACAAGGCATTTTAAACATCTCAAACTACTTCAAAACTTCAATCCAATATTCTGTAATCCCTGTATCTAATTTCCACTTGTACAAGTTTTCATCCTTTATAAATCCAATTAAAAATGAAAACAAAATAAATACAAATATCAGTAACTTTTCATTAATAAAGGCTCTATGATGTAAAAACCTTTGTAAAGCCACCAATTATTTTAGTTGTCAGCTCCTCTCCCAGCCCCCTTATCCTCTCTGCACAGAAATCATCATAGATCAAACTAGGTTTAGGCCACCAGGCATGGTTTAAACTGGTAGTATAACAATTAAATACTGCATACCTGAATATACTTGGCACTGTTATAAAGCAAGAAAAGAACTCTCTAATCTGCTTGATTTTTATCTTCACAGTGAAGTTGGTTTTGCTGTTACAAGTCTGTTTAGTTTTTGACATTCCAGTGAAGAACATTTCAGTACCTTAATGGTCCCGAGAAAACCCAGAGACTGCATCCATGCAGGTACAACCACCCGAGTAACTCTTGAGACAAGGACTCATTCTGTTTATAAGCTGAGCTACTCAGAATAAAACCCCCAGCTAACCTATCTCCAAAAGCACAAGCACATTTCCTATGAGGAATCCTCAACTTCAGCAGAATGATCAGGTTAAGCAAAAAGGATGGGGCTGCTTCTCTCTCGAAATACGGAGAAGACACATTACACAGCATTTCCAGTCACCCCCAGAAAGATCAATGTGAACAACCAGAAATCCACACTTCTTATATTCAGATACTACAGCAATAAAATCCTGGCTCTTACTCAGAGGTGCTGTGCTTTTGGCACAGCTTTCTATGCCAAATCTATAAAAACTGTGCTTAGCCATGATCGTCACCCTCACAGCTGAGTGAGAGCATCTCCCTAAAGGCACTGGAGGAACAGCTGAATGCCTCCCGAGGCTGTTAAACAGCACATTTTGAAGAATACTTTACAGACACTCTTCATGCAATGCCCACAGTTGTTAACTCCAGGGTAGTACCATATTGATAAGCTGTTCGTAAAACCCTGCGAAGAAATAAAGATCTGCTATATATACAATAGCTTCATGCGATACAGACGTCCTCCGATTTCTTTTTCTTAGCTGTCATTGCTACTGTAGATACTGAAATATCATCTACGTTGCCAAGCATCTTTTAGGAAGACCTGAGTATGTCCATAAACAAAAGCCTAGGGGAAGACCTGTTTAATAAGTAGACTTAGTCAAAAGATTCTAGGATCTAGCACAGCCTACTAACGAAGGGGCTGCTGTGACACAATATGAAATCTTACAGACTCTCACACCCAAATATTCAGACTTTAGAACACAGACACTGATTTCTTCCAGAAAATAATTACCTCCCGATTTGGCAGGGCTCTGACCAGCGCTTATGCATGAACACAGCCCAGCCAAGCCTCTGGAAAACTCTGCTTTCAGTTAAGGTGACTAAGGAAGAAAGCTCTTGCTTCCAATCAAAAAGGCAGTCATTGTGCATTCAAGAAGCCGCGCTTTACAAAAGGTCTGCCCACCAGTGCAACCTCCAACGCAGCTCAAGGGCGGCAGAGATTACCTAGAACCTGTCTTGGTGTTCAACACAAAAGGAAGCAAAACTTTGGGTTTTCAGCTCTATCTGACAAGTTTTGTAATACCTCAGGGAACGTAAAAAAACACACCTGAACTTCACTGACACTGGCTCCAGCTGGGCGCTTCGTTTATAAATGAGTTCTTAAAGCAACTGACTATGTGCAAGGCAACATCTGTTATTTGCACTTCCCCAGCATCCAGAACACAGGATGTTTCTCCCCTTAGGGCCAATGAAGTGCTAGTGAAGGGGATTGCTCCACTTCAAACAGGAGCGGTCAGGCAACATCGCTAACAAGGCATTTTGGTGATGTGATGTGGGTAAATTACCATAAATGCAACTTCAGTACTGACAGGACGCACAGAAGTTTATGACTGTGGAGAAATCGATGCACCTACGGCAGAAACTGCCTAAGATGCTCATACGCTCCTTCTGCAACTTAACCTCCTCTTGAAGGCATCATGACATCTCAGCCTGAAATACAGCATTAAAGGTCTGAGCAGAGAAAGAGAGAAGGAGGATCAGGGCTGCTGATTAAAGTCCCTTCAGCAGTGAACAACTGGGTCTTGTATTTCTGCCCACAAGTCATGAAAATGGTATCAACAGGCACAGAGTGATTTCTGTTCCTCATCAGTGACACATATCCTGTGGATATTCTGGTTCTGGTACATGTGAAAGTAACGCAATGTCTGCCAGCTGACAAGAGATTCTACTCATGTAAAATACCTCTACCTGATGTTTCCAAATAGCATAAGGAAAATTATCATTACTCACCCTGCCAAAACAATAGCCTGACGCGAAACTCAGCTACTCGGATGTACCGCTGCTCACAGTTAAGTGGCTTTGTGGGTGAAAGTAATTGCTCGGAATAATTTTAGACACTGCAATTTAAAGATCAGATCCAAAATACCTACAAAGCACTTTATAGTCACACCCAAATCTTCCCATCAGCTCCAATGGGATCCACGAAACACTTTGCAACGTCGTGATTTTCTGTAGGTGGAATCTTCCCATTCAGAGGAGACTGTCTCCACTGATGAGAACCACTTCAATATTTCATGTTGACTTTATTTTCAGCAGCAATGGAAAGACTGAGCAGAGGCCCAAGCAATCCTGTCTTCTGTGTATACTACGTAACCACAGCTCAGAGTAGTTAAAAGCATTAGTGCGCATTTAGTTACACAAAACCTCCCTGAAGTACTGTGAAGGAAAAAGGCTTTCTGGCATTTTTCACTGCATTCTATGGCATGACAGATTTGCTGTTTGAAAATACAGTGGAAAAACGCTTTTCTAAAACCAGCCAGAAAAAGTCTTCCTCCTACAATAAAAGACACAAACAACTACAAGATCTTCCATCTATCCAGTTACAATAGGCAATGCTTAAGCAGTGCAACTGTACTTCTTTCTACGCCTTACACAAGGGTTCATGCATACAACTACATCTCTCTCAGCCACAAGTGACTGACACTCAGACGAGTTAATAGCAATGGCAAGGTATCAGGGCACAAACCCCAGCATTTCTGGAGAGATAAAAGGAGGACTTGGGAGAAGCAGCAGCAGTCTAAAACGACAGCCTCCCTCAACACTATCAGCTGCAGCAGACTCTTGCTGGACATGCATCCATAGTAAAATGAAAGGGAAGCTTGTGCTGCATTAGCCAAAAATCAAGACCCAAGCCAACATAAGACTTCTTTAAGAAATGCTAACAGTGGTTTTGTTTATTACTCTTATAAGCATTAAATCGAATATTAACTTGTAATCTTCCCCCGCTCCCCTATACAGGCATAAAGAAGTGCCATTTCCACATCGCGCTGCGTTACTTAAGAGCCAATAATTGCTATTTTGTTAACAACAAATTTCTGCCTTTTAATTAACAATATATTGTTATATATTCTCAATTTATTGCTGTAATATTCTCAACTCACCTAGGCAGGAAGACTGATTTTAAATACGCCAATCTAAATACCTATTTGCACAAGCCTAAGTGACATTTACTTGAATGCTGTCAATTATTGTGTATCTTAAACATATTTATACTGCTTCTTTACAACAAATTTCTAATACTGTTGGAAAAAAAACCCAAACCTGAACATGCAGGCATTTCTACGGCAATAACATTATTAAAACAGCAAGAGGTAAGACTTAATATAAGCCCACTGCGCTCCCTTTTGTTTGTTCATTTCACTGAAGCATGCATTGAAAGACAGAATGTATCATCATCTATCTCCATAGCAGGCTTTCTGGGTCCTGTTAATTGATACTATGCAATACACCCTGAAACAATCAATAGCATCTGGAACCAAAAAAAGCTTTCCAGTCTAAGACAGACACCTCTGGAGGCTGGCAAAACCTCTCCTTGCACAACCAGGGCACCGTGGTCAGTGCGATTACACAGAAACCACCACTCCCCAAGCTGAGCTGCTCACTGAGTTTTTGCTGTGTGCTGAGGAGAAGCTGATAAATCACAGCAAAAAAAAAACAAAACCCAAAACACACACACAAAAAAAAGCCACAACAAAAAGAGAGAAAAGAGTTTATATTTACCAATAACCAGAGGAGGAGTTAATGGTAAATATTAAAGCTAACTGGTTTTAAGTCAAAAGGAACAGAAGGCCTGTGCTGTTGAGTATCATTACTACTGGTTTGTTGCTTTTTCTATGCCTTTTATTTACACTTTGAAGGCTTTTAATTAAAGGCAGCAGCCAGGATAAGAACCAAAGCAGCCACTTTTAAATATTAAAATAGATATTTTATGCTAATGAAACACAGATTTCGGTTATTTAGGATAGATGCCTTCCAGGAAGTTATGTTTTCACAGAAAAAGATATAACCTTTACCTCAAGCGTATTGCTACAGCCTTCTCTGCAGAAGAAAGGGAACATCCCCTTTATTTCCAAAGTGAAACACGAACGCATTCATCACTCAAAGCCCACACGGAGAGTTCAGTCTAATGGCCAGCACCGGTGGAGCGGGGAAGCAGCCTTTGTTCACATTCCCATGCAACAACTATCAGACCACCCATGCAGGACTTCACACCCCGAGACTGCAGGAGAAATTCAGCATTTATGGCTATGCCTATTAATGTCATCACTTTCTTCAAGTACAAGTCACATGGATGTCATCCTTGCCCACCAAACAGCTTGTGTGGCCATCCACGCATGTGATCTGCCTACCACGTCACTTGAGCAGAGGTCCTGTCTTCTTAATACCCACCTTCTGTCAAAGTACCTGGTGATTTCTATCTAGCTGTTATTAAATGTACAGGAGGCAATTTCGCTTCACAAAGAGTGCTGGCAAGGACAGAATCATTATGGGAAGAGGATAGATAACGGATCACGTTTTCCTTCCTGCATTTGGAACACAATTTCTATCACCTAAAAGGCAAGTCCCCCTCATTCCTACCTCATTTCCACATTCTGTGAAGCATGAAACCTCTTTTGTGCTGATTGGGCCCTGAGCAGTCTATTTCGGAGCCTAACTTCTTTGAAATGTCTAATCTCAACAACCTCATTCAGTTACAGAACAAATAAGGTAATGGCTTTCACAAGTTACACCTTACACAAAGACAGTTCAGGAATGCATGCATTTCCTGTCAGTGCGAACAAATTATGCCCTGCTGGATTCTCCTCTTATTGGCACACGAGGTAAAACTGTTCACAGTTAAAAATCTTCAGTTTGGGCAACAATTAAAACTAATGGAAGAATCAGTAATACACGGTCACTGTTCAGAACAAAACCCAAAAGCTATTTGGGAAAAGTCAGCCTTCCTCACAAGCTTCCACGTTTTTGCACAGCTTCATACCTGCTCTCCCTCTGCACCACAGGGTAATGAAATGGCTGGATACAAGAGACATCACCTCTGGTGCTGCAGAGAGTACAGGAAAACCCTCTCCTCTACCTCTGCGGCACCCTTTTGCTTCCTCCTCCGCAAGCGGCAGAAATGCAGTTGATGCCTAAGGAGCTCCTACCTCCCACCAATCCTTATTGCCAGGACTGCTTTTAGGAGACTCTGTGACAATGGTCTTTGGATGCTAGCAGCTATTTTCCCCTGTATTGCCAATCTCCCTGTTGAGAATCCAGACTTAAGTTTAGGACTCACACGCTAGCAAAGAGATCGGCTGTAAACTAGGAGCTCCAGTACATCTCGAGTAATTCCACACAGAGCAATTCCAAAAGCCTTGCGTTTCTGTTGGTCTGTACCACCCTACTTAATGGCATCTCAGGCCACAGTTCAGAGCCTTAACTTTGATACTGCCCCACATACCATCAAGGCCATTATGATGGCTGTAGTTTCTTTTCCCCAAAATACTTAGTGACGAGTGATTGGAGGGTGCAAGCAGTCGTTTCGCACTTGGAGTCTGAAGGCTTGGTGTTGACCTGATTACATTTGGTTTCACTGCAGGATGAATCTCTATTTGAGACAAAAGACAGAGAGAGAAATCAGACATACTTGATTTGAAAAACCAGATGAAACCAGTCTACCCAACATACTAAACTTACATTTAGATTTCCAGTGAAAGCAAAACAAACACGCTCCTCTGCACGAGTGTGTTTACAGCACCTTAAATAACACTTCTTCATACCCACCGTTCCTCCAAGCAAGAAAGATCTGTTTCACTTGAGATCGCCCAAGTTAACCCTGTGGTGCAGATGTGTAAGGATTCCAGGGGCTGAGGGGATAATACAGATCAATCTCAAACAGGTTTCTGTTTACATTTTCCTACCTTTGAGCTTTGTATGGGAGCTACACACCTACAGACTGCTTTAGCAAGCAAATCAAAGCGTTTTACTAGAGCAGAGGCAGTAAAGTGCACCTGGCCAGCACACGCCAGAGTGGCAGCTGCTTTGTTTGCCAAAAGCTGATAGAGCTGTATGGAAATTTGTGCCAGATGCCAGATAAAAGGGCAAGGTAGAGTCTGCTTGTGCTGCACCAGGGATCTGCTGAACCCACCAACTTATTCCTATCACGCATTTGGGTTCAAAATGCCACCACTGCGGGTGACTTTGGACAGACCCAAGGTTTGGAGGGAAGTCAGAGAGCCCGCAGGCAGGTCCCATCCCTCTGAGGCACTTGCAGTGCCGTTCCCTGGCAGAGCAGGAGACCCCTGAGCTGAGAACATGAGGGCAGAGGGGCTGTGGGGTGGATCAGGAGGTTGAGCTGCCCAAGGGGAGTAAGATCGGAAGGCAGAACTGAAGCACTTTCTCACATGCAACCCCTGAAGAGTGCTGCCTTCTGCTTTTCTGTTTATAAAACAGAATACAGGAGCTGGGAATATGCAGTATCTGAAGCGATGCCAGGGATCCAAGAAGGAAGCCCTCCAGCCTCTGCCATTCACAGCTATCATGCAAGAGAAAGAGAAACCATTGCACGAAGTCAGAGTCCATCACAAGAGCACATTTTTTCTCTTTCAGAAATGCCAAGGAGGTCTGACAGCCAGGGCTCCCACGGCAAGCCTTCACAGCCAGCCTGCAGGTACCAGCCCACCCACCCCAGGCAGCAACCATTTGGGGCTGCCATGGGAAGTGCTAACCTTTAAAGGGAAGATGCAGCCAAGCAGTTGGATCAGTAGCAAATCGGTGGAAAGGATTATCTGCTGGGGGCTACAAGGATGCTGGAGAGGGGCTCTTCATCAGGGACTGCAGCGACAGGACAAGGGGTGATGGGTTCAGACTGAAACAGGGCAAGTTCAGGTTAGATCTGAGGCAGAAGCTCTTCCCTGTGAGGGTGCTGAGGCGCTGGCACAGGCTGGACACAGAAGTGGTGAATGCTCCATCCCTGGTACTGCTCACCCTTGGCTGACATGGTCTAGTGTGAGGTGTCCCTGCCCTGGTGGTTGGAACTGGATGATCTTAAGGCTGTTTCCAACCCAAACCAGTCTGTGATTCCATGACTCACACCTACTCAGGATGACCACAATGGCTTGGCTGCCCTGGGACCAGCATGCCAGGAAGGTATAACATCAACAACCTCAAGAGGCTTTGCTTAATGTTTAACCACTGATCTGGTCAGAGCTCACAATCACACTCATGAAGCACAAACACCCTCATCCGAGATGCTTCAAGAGGGTCAGGTAAGAACGAACGGAGCAGGGTAATACATGGGCAGGTATTAAAAGAGCACAGAGCTAGGGTACAGGTAATTGCTTCAGATTTGGGTGTCAGTGTGAGGGCGAGTCTGAGGTCACCCATCCTCTCACCACTTACTTCGATGAGAGCTTCTTACTGCCATTCACTGCATTACTCATCTGCTTTCCACGTAATAGGGTTTAGGAACACCAAGCACTCACCCATTTTCCATGCTATAGAGAACAAGTTTCTACTTAGTTTTCTTACTAAAATGGGAACAGAGGCAGTGCTTAATGTTGTGAATACCGATGGCTAAAGCAAAACCTTACACTGGAAAAGAAAGGTTTTGCACTGTTAGCTAAAGATGATTGGAATTTGGATTCTAAACCGCTCATCTGACAATCTTTTCCCATTTTGTGAAGGAAATGGTTAACTTTTAGGGCTAACGCCACTAAAACACAATCTTATTTGCCAAAGAGCTCCAGCAGCAATCACAGTCATCCCAGCAGCTACATGAACACACGAGACCTCATAAACCCTTCCGCCCACAGCCAACAGGAGATGTGATTTTATGGTGTCACGGTGAGCAAGCACTTGAAAAAGCATTTCCTTACTTGGACTTCTCTTCAGCAGGAGGTCATCAGTCCTCCATCAGCTCACCCCAAGGCCTGTCCTTTCTCCTCTGCTCCCGAGGAAGGCAGCCACCCCAAGCTCTCTGTTAAAGGTTCCAGAAATGGACTGAAACAGCCAATGGACTGACCGAGTCCTTCCTGCGGGGTCTTTACACCTTGTGCTCACTTGCCCTCCACATACAGACTGCACGCTTTAGATTAGCGCTTTCTAATAGGCTTCCTCACACCCCTGAGGGGTTATGAGGCATTTCAGGGTTTTGCCTGACTTATATTATCCTACCATATTACTGTATTATGCAGTTATAGCAGTTAGGGTTCTTTTAGTTCCTGCTGCTGCTCTGATCCTTGTTCTACTGCTTAGGACTTCACTGAAAATCTCCTGGCTGCTAACCCGGAGAGCTCCAAAGAACCCAAATTACCCCATTACCTGCACAATAAATAACCCACTGGCCAGATCCAGACTGCATGGGCATTTCTGAAATAACGATAAAACAGGAAGAAGCAGCAACACTTGCACGACACATTAGGAACCCTTCTGGTGAGACCAGGCTGCAGCCTCAAACAAGCACATGCAGCAACAACTCTAAATCTTCTCTCCTTTCCACTAATGAATCAAAACCCCAATGCAAACAACAGGAAGTTGAAGCCTCCTACCCTGATCACTTAAATAAGCATCCTGGATTCCAGAGGCACCTCTGAAGCTGCACCTGCCTCTCTCATCCCATCTCCTTCAGTATGCATCCCAGCTGGAAACATTACCCTGGTTTCCCCATACTGGGGAGGTAATACAGGACACTCAATTAGCCAGGGCTTGCACTCTGGGGGGTTTGCTTAGCAAAGCACAGTGATGACTGCAGAGATTACAGGGGATTAGTCCCAGCTCTCCAGAGGACAGAGCTTACTCAATGCTCAGCCTACCTCAGCTGTGGATCTGGCAGCCAGGAAGCAGAACAGGGATAAAGGGAAGCGATGACCCACGCGTGCAGGGCACTGAAATCCTCTCTGCCTTACCAGCAGGGCTGAAAGCAGCATTGCCTTGAGACACACAGTCTGCTCATAAATGTCTGTGGGAATGGCATGGAAGGCATTTGGAAAAGGAAAACAAATGCCTCCTGCATAAGCTGTGACAGGATGCTTCATACCAGATGTTGTGAGGAAGACCATGCCAGCATTAATTATCCACTCGAACAGACAAAAATCCCAAACAAACAAGAAAAAAAACCCAACCCAAGCTAAATGGCAAACAAGCCAACTTCATACAACTAATTCAGATGCAGGTATTTACCTCCACTGAGCACACCCCATATCCCTGGAACATGTGCTATTTGCCTTCGCTTCCCATACAGCCAAGTGCTAAACAGACTCTGCAGGTAGCTAGTATATTTTTGCACTGTTAATCTACAAAACCTTCACCCACGTACACAGAGAATCACAGAACCACAGAGTGCTTTGGGCTGGAAAGGACCTTAAGGCTCCTCCAGTTCCAACCCCTGCCACGGGCAGGGACACCTTCCACTCGAGCAGCTTGCTCCAAGCCCCTGTGTCCAACCTGGCCTTGAGCACTGCCAGGGATGGGGCAGCCACAGCTTCTCTGGGCACCCTGTGCCAGCACCTCAGCACCCTCACAGGGAAGAGCTTCTGCCTTAGATGTAACCTGAGCTTCCCCTGTTTCAGTGTGAACCCACCACCCTTGTCCTGTCGCTGCATCCATTTTTCGTTATCCAGTTTTCTGAAGTTTGGATTTTGTTAAAACCCGTGTTTTAGAAGAGCAGTTATAACCACATCAGGAGCTCATTTCTATTTCAGCAAGTCAAGAGACTGTTGCTGTTCCCTCTGGTCTACAACGAAAAACCTCTTGTGGATTGAAATCGCAAGCAAAACATCTAGACTGAGCTCTGCCCTCAGCTTCACTGCTGTACACTGGGATTAATGCACTTCACTGCTTCTCTGATCAATTGATTCATCTGTTTGAGGATCAGCAGAAAGCCTATGGGGTATCTCGGCTCCTACAGGCCTGTGTAAATGTTTATATATAGTCAGTGGTGGTTCCTTGCAGAAAGGACAATTTTCACGTTTGTTTTAATAAGGAATCACAAATTCCTAGGATGTCTCCTCTCCCCATTACCTTACATGAGCCTCTGGTCCTCCTGGCTGTGATCTCAGCACTGATCTCACCACATCTACTACAATCACAGCATCAGATTAAAAGGTCAGTGCCTGAGTGTGGCTGAGGTCTCCTCCTTTCAAGCACACAGGAATACTGCAAGTGGATTCCAGGGGCAGAGCAGAGCAGCACTGAGCATACTGAGAATCTCCCCAGTTGGAACCCTTTTTTCCATTCCTTTAGACTACCAGACTATTGCTCACATTCTAAATTACACCAGGTTTTACTCTGCTGTTTTAAGCCAGTAGCAGAAGGGCTTCTGCCTCCATCCCCCGAGCTCTGCAACTGAGAGAGGACTAGAGTTTTTATTCCTTTATTAACTTTATAGTTTGCTTGTTACTAAAAGCATGCCTCTCTCGTTCTATGTGTATGGGATTTTTACGTCTCAGTGTAGGCTGAGTGCTCTCTGAAGGCAGATACATACCTAAATACCCAATGATACACGACAGCGGTTTCCTGGTGCTTTTTATCTTCAGAGGGTTTCCAGCAAGCTCACAATGTCGATCTGCATCTGAGAAGTTTAAAGAATAAAACCCAGTTTCAATATTTCAACACTACAAATAGAATCAGGACACAGCACAAATCTCTTCCTTCCTTCTAGCACATGTCCTTTTTTTCTCCATCAACGCTCACAACGATGGACAAGCGCAGGCCAGGTCCTCACGCATGGAACTGATGTTGGTATTTTTTGGTTTAAAGTTAATGTAAGTTGTAAGACAAATGTGATGGCAATTTTTGCTTACAAAGTCTTTCTGGAGACAGTCAGCCAGGCAAATGGAACATGAAAACATCAGTATTAAAATAAAAGCAGCAAATTAAACATAATTTACACTGAATCCTTCCTTGCTCTCTACAAGCTTGTCTGGCTATAAATAGGGTAATAGAGAGGTAAGAATTTCAAGTTAAGCCTACTGATTCTGGTCATGCCTTATTCGCATGGTGTGGCAATCCATGCAATTCTGAGTAAGTAAAAGAGAACACAGGGGCTATTATGGCAAGACGAAGGTTAACAAACACCACCTCAACACAGGAACAACCAAAAAAGACCCATCCTTCGCTATAAACTTTTGAACAAAGTGGTCAGTTGTAACCAAGCATCACAGAGCTCAAGGGGCTCAAAGGCAGCAGACAAAAAGCAGCTCAGTAACTACCTTAAATGTGATGCTACAAGTAGGAGCTCACACCTTTGAAGGCACTGCAAATACACAAGCAGAGAATCTGTCTAAATGCCCCAAACATAGAAGTGTTACTATGAAGAAGTTCACGCTTAGACAGCGGAGTCAAACAACTTAAGGCAAAACTTCACAATTCACTCGGTTTCAGTAAATAGTTGAGACTCCTGGAACTACAGTGCCTCTTTTTAAACTACTCAGAACAACGGTGTTATGTGTCTTCCAAAAGCATCTAAGTAATCCCCATATAGGGCTTCCAGTATCCCTAGAGCAGAGGTATTCTCTTTGTACAAAACTGCATCCCTAAGTTTGAGTCTCTAGCTCTAGAATTCCCTCACATGCATTGCTTCCCACACATGCATACCTGTATGTACACCTTTGCATAGGCTTCACACACACGCATGCAGAACCACATTTTCTAGCAAGCATTACAGGGACTAGATATTCTGAACAGATGATGGTAACTGTAACTCCACACTGCCTCTGCCTTCTCTTTGACCAAAATGTTCCTGTTTGCTTCATCCCAGCACATGACATAAGAGTACACAGTGACACGAAGAGGGTAAGACACAATACAGATCAATGTGCAATCTCTTTATACATTCTATCTAGCTCTGTGTAAAAGGGTCTGCGCTGTAAAACAAGCCACTGACTCATGGTGAGGTACTAATGTGCTGACTGAGAACACAGACTGCAAAGGGAGCACAAGTCCCAGGCTGGAGGCAAAGCATGCTCACCAAAGGCACTCGGTGGGTGTCCCAAAGTGCACCTACCTATTAAAACAGCTAAATACATTTATCAGCAGCAAACTTTAATCCATAGTATGGTACTGTCATAAACGATGTAGTCCAGTTTATGCTCGTTATGCACTACATAAAGAGAGGCATCAAAGCTGGATCATGTATCACTCCCAAGTGTAAAACCACAGCATAAAATTTAGACAGAAAAGCTGTCAAAACCAAAATGAAAACCAAGTCCTAAAATCAAATACGGGCTCCCACAGGAACAATGAAAACCTCAGGAAGGTCAGGGAAATACTGGAAGCTATGAGGAAAAAAAAAAAACCAAACCTAAAATGAAATAAAGGAGTATAATATTTGATAATGTATTTTTTCAAACATACCAAAAGCAGAAAGTATGCTACTGCTGTAGCAACAGGAGATGCTCAAGGTGTGAGGACAACATGCAAGGCACAGGCACGGCCAAAAAGGTGGACACGTTCTTTGCATCGGTGTTGACTGCAGAACATAAAGCAGCTCAGTTCCAACACGCTTTGATGAGGGAAGCGTGAGGACTGCGTCACATCCAGGTGTCCACAGGAAGTACCACAAAACAAAGTGGTTAGTGAATGAAACCAGATTCCCCAGACGAGGTGCAATGCATCCAAACAGAAACCGCTGAGCATGTACTCTACCGGTGGTTAACGAATGCTTAAGCTGGGCTTGGCTCAAGAGAACAAAACCCTGGCAAGTGAGATAACATTCTTCAGTAAGTAGGTCTGCAGCCTGGCGAAAGGGCTGAGCTATTAATAGAGGCATAAAGTTAAATGTGGAAACACCAAGGGAGCCAACCAAGACCTTGTAAAGGGAAAACGTGTTTAATGCTCTCACATTATCCAGTGGTGTGGCCTTGCAACAAGAGGGACAACTGCAGGAAACCACGCCCAGAGCCTGTGCTGAGTTCTGGGATCCCTACTACACGAGATGCTTTTGGAGCAAGTCCAGCTGCTGGAGACACCAAGCTGGTGTCTGGAGTGCAGGACACACAGAGAACCTGAGAGAACTGGGTCTGGTCAGCTTTGAGAAGGCCAAGGGGAGACCTGATGGCCATCTGTAACAGCAGAGCAGCAGAGCATAGACAAGACCCAGCCAGACCCTTCTCACGTATGCAGTGACAGGACAACGTACTATTTCTGTCTGTGGCAACAGACACAGGCTGGGAGATGGAAAACTGTTGTTGGAAGTAAGGAAAAGACTGTTTACTGTGAGGTTGACCCAACGCTAGAAGAGGGAAGCTGTGGAGTCTCCATCCTTGGGGGACACACAGATCCCATCTGAACAAAAGGCCCATGAGCACATGAACACGCAGGGGGTAGGATTAGAGACCTCCAGAGGTCCCTTCCTACCTACATGTCCTGTAAAGCAGCGACTGCAAATGCCACAGGTCTTCCAGGACCCTCTGGAGGGATCACGACACGTACACACGCAGCTGATCTGGCAGCCAACATGGCACTGCAACTGGCTCTTCACAAACCGTGTCACCAGACTGTGAAGCTGTCCCAGGGTTAAAGAGAAGGTTTTTTTTTTTTCAGGGATTAAAATTAATGGTCTGTGTAATCCCCAAAGGATCAGCGCTGCTCAACATATAAAAGATCAGGAAAAGAGGTGATCAGAGAGCTAAAGTTTCCTGGTAAGAAATTCCTGAGCATAAATAAGCTAAAACCGATGGCAAAGTATATCAGCAGCACCATGCAATAAACACAGGGATAAAAGACTAACGAACAGATGGAATGATGAGGTCCAGAGCACTCCCATGCAGAAGAAAACCCATGGAGGCAGCGTTAACAGCGTTCTAAAAATATCTAGACAATACTAAAGAGGGGTCACTTGAGAGTAAAATCAGAGTATTATAAATTATGATAGGAAAATAGGAAACAGGTGAGACTAAAATTAGGGAAGACCTGTCTCTTGAAGCGCGTGTAACCGGGGCCACTACAGCCCTAGAGAGGATACAGCACAACTAGAAAAACTCCGGGGAACAACATTACAAACCACAGGGGGAAACAGATTCTTCACACAGTTTTAAACAGACCAAGTTCTTAACCTAGAAAGGGGATGACTGTCGTGGGTATTAGAGGTCAATGAAGTCGTGAAGGCTGTAGAGAAGATGACGGTGAAGGAGGCTTCTTCTTTTAGATCTGAAAGGGGATTTTAAAAACTAGATTTATAAGTCTCCAAGGCTTGGAGAGAGGTGAGGAGTTGTTTCTCTTTGACATGCCATCATCTCCCTATCGAAATTCAGATTATCTAATAAACATACTGTGCTCTGTGGCTTCCCTGAATTGCATTCTTACAACTTTGGGACAGAAAGAGCGTGTTCTTCTCATTATTTTACTGGCTAATAAAACGTGGCACAAATTGTAATCAAAGGTAACAGCAGAGAAAGGATTTTCATCCCAGTGGCAGCCAAAGCATCTTCCACAGCTATCAAAATCAAGGATGGAAAACAGTGCTTGTGAACGTTACTCACCTCAGACGAATGGGCAGTTTGATGTCAGTAAAACACGGGCCGTGTGCTTACAAGACAGATCAGTAACATTTTGCATATTCTACTTAATTTTCCCTTGTCTTTGCTTTATCAATCCAGCCTGTAAGAAACAAGTGCTGTGTACCAAACTTGTTATTAAATCTGCAGATTGAAAGGTAAGTCAAGTTTTGGTTGTGATCACCATACCCATTTCCAGATAACTGCATTATACAGATCATACATTAGCATCCACTGAAAACATTTTGACAATCACGTCTACACAGACGGAGTGCAGTTACCCAAATTTAAATTACTATAATTAACACATAAGAGTTATCACGCTAAAACTGTACCTGAGCAAGGGGAAAAGATCCCTCAGAAACCCTCCTGTGCTGAACTAAGAAGGTTCACATATATCAACATGCTCATAAAGCTGGAAACAGATCCAGTCTTGCCAGCGACTGCCTGGAGAAGAATGCCCACTTTGGCTTCCTCTAATTCAGAGACCTTCCACAGTCAGGGCAGTTTTGCTTAACTTTCAAACTGAAAAGAAGGTATTTTGCCTAATTCAGAGGATGAGAATTTCCTCCTACTGAAACAGTTCACCAATTCTAACTGCTTCTAACAATCCACCAGACAAGTTTATTGCCAACATCTACAGCAAGTCTATTATCTTCAGGCAGAACCAGGTCTGAGGTTTCCATGATGGCTTTTTCCCACTTTCTCAGAGCTGGGAATGAGTTTCACTTACAACCTGGCACTACAAGACAACATAAAACCTGGTAGGCTGCTGGGGAAAGTGCGCTACCACCCCTTGTCTTTAGATTTTATGGTTTCTGAGTGTTGGTCTGGTGCCTACTGCAATATAACTGAGAAAGGCAGCTACGTTTTGAAGCACTGGTTTGGCACACACAGAGTCAGGCGAGTCTGACAAAGCAGCCATTAGATTCAAGTTTCAGCACACCAACATGGAAAACAAACCCCAAATCCCTTCCTGGATGTCATAACCATCTCACGCCAGGTCCCATCACGGGCAACCTGACACTTTGGCCAAGTTGTTACCTAAGCATGGTTGTCACTTCTGGACCACCTGCAGACATTCATGCAATACTGTAATTACTCAGTGGTACTCAACATCTGAAATCATCACTGTTAATGAAGCAGCTCAGCTAAAAACGAAAGGATCTAAAACCGACAAGCTTTAAGAATGACTCACATCAATCTCTCCTTAAGAAAGGATCCAAGGCGTTCTCAGGAAGAGGGAGCCTATTCAGTTGTAACATTAAAATCTACAGTATGCACTCACCACAGGTCAGAAGGTATAAGTACAGGAACAAAACTAGAAAACCTTTATCTTTAAATTTACTTACTAACCAGTCCTTACCAGAGTAAGGACATGCCAATAACAATGCAGGTAAGAGCACTGTACAATTGCACAAAGAGACAATGCCAGCAACAGGGTGCGTGTGTGTACGTATATGTACACACAAACACAAGTTAAATCAGCTATCATTTGGTTTCTGCTATTTAGATAACTGCTTTGTTTTCCTTCTAGTTTTTCTCTTCCTTAAACTCAAGCTCCAGCCTTCAAACTGAGTTACTGCAGTGAGGGAGAAAAAACGGATATGGATAAAAACCCACGAGGCTCAAGGGAACTCCATGATGTGGCAGAAATCAGTGCCAAATACACATATTAAGCAGTGCAATTCTTTCCTCTCAGAGGATAACTCTTATTTTGTATTAAGGATTTAAAACATAATCCTTGTCCAGCCTTAGAAACGCTTTTTCCATACGGTACAACCCACTTGGACATACCATTTCCTTAAACCTGAAAGCTGCTCCTGACTTGCATAGCTTGGAAAGAAAACGGCCAACAGGCCAACAAGCAGAAACAGTCACCATGCTCTGGACGACTGCAGAAGCAGGTCAAGAGTTTTGCATGTGAAGGACGGCCGGTGTTGAAGTACGTAAGGGGAAAATTAATTACTCAAAACCAGACATTAAGCCCCTGTGGAGCAAATTTCTTAAAATCAACACTGACATCACCTGCATCCCAGTTAAGTATGCTGGGAAAATATTTAGCCTTAATCCAGTAAACACGGTTATAAACCCAACCTCTAATATCCTAAAAAGGTCTCTTCGATTTCAATACAATTCGCAGTATGATGAGCCAGCACGGCTCACCTTGGAATACCAAGAACTGCATCTCTATGGAAGTCTGGCAAACAAAACCAACAGCACAAGCAGCAAACCAACGCGCTCAGCACAGACACAAAACCTGCTGAAATAGTCAGTGGCTTTGCAGCAGCGCTTACACACATATGCACATAAAGAGAACAACCCATAACCAGTGAACTTACCAGTTCTTTCTATTTTGGCTATCAAAAGAACAAACACAATATAGAATTCTATTTAAAACTAAAAGTTAAAACTGCAACAGGCAAAAAGAAACAAAGCTGCAACCATGATGTAACAAGAACCATGGCTATCACCACCATCTGATCACCACAGCAACGAAGGGCTGGGTTACAGGCCACATTTCAGTTCTCTTGCATCCTCAGCTCCTTAATCTTTCACCAACCCCACTGAGTAAAACACGCACAGGTTTATGCTTTCTGCTCAGCAAAAGGATCAACACACAATACGAAAGCAAACTTCTTTCACGCTGCCTAGCAGGAAGCATGGGTTTTATGTCACAGCACTGATTTCCCCTCACTGCCCTGGATTTGTTATGAGATTGTTTGGTAAGCGAATGAGGTAAGAGTTATCCACTTTTTAAGTCATCTCATTTTTTTTGTCCCAGCCTGAAATCTGTTGGAGGCAGCCAGGCTTGATTCAACGTATTGGTGACAAACGAAAAAAAGAAAAATGAAAAGCAAAAAGTGTACAGACAGAAATGTTTATTGAAAAAGAAAATAAAATTAAAAGACAAAAATAAAATGGGTGGGAAGCACAGCACACAGAACTAAGAGTTAAAAAAACATCTTACATTCTGCCTTAATGGCAGCACAGTTAATAGGGACAAAGGGGCGTCTCGCTGCCTGCCGCAGCCGCAGGGTGTTTTTGCAGACCTGACGGGCCAGTTTTGTCCAACACGTTGTGTGAAGGAAGAAAGCTTGACGTGTTTTCACTGCAGACTTTGGGCTCCCAGTGTTACGAACTGGAGTCCCCTGCGTGGCCTGCCGGGACAGGTGAGTCCTAACATGGGAGTCCTGCAAGAACACCGAACAGAAAACGGTCACGCACACATGAGAACTGCAGCTTCAAACGATTACACAATTTGGATCAATTCACAGGGCTGAACATACACACACAGTGTGTATAAGCATGTATAATTGTCCTGGGTTCAGCATGGTAAGCACTGTACAAAAAAATTGAGCTTATGTATGAAGCTGTAAAAAAACCCCTCTTTTTTACAAGGATGCTGGAGAGGGACTCCTCATCAGGGACTGCAGAGACAGGACAAGGGGTGATGGGTTCACACTGAAACAGGGCAAGTTCAGGTTAGATCTAAGGCAGAAGTTCTTCCCTGTGAGGGTGCTGAGGCGCTGGCACAGGGTGCCCAGAGAAGCTGTGGCTGCCCCATCCCTGGCAGTGCTCAAGGCCAGGTTGGACACAGGGGCTTGGAGCAAGCTGCTCTAGTGTGGGACATCCCTGCCCGTGGCAAGGGTTGGAACTGGAGGATCTTAAGGTCCTTTCCAACCTAAACCACTCTGTGATTCTATTGTGGGTGGATACACAATGCCATTCTAGATGGCATTTTACAGGGTGCACACCATCTGGCTGACAAGATGACATCTGTCCACCAAAAAAATGCATGAAATGGATGTTTGCTGATCTAACAGTCAAATAAAGACAAGGAAAATTAAAGACAGGAGAAGGATTAAGGAATTGAGCTTTGTAATACCGAAGTTGAACACATACATAAAAAATTCATACCATTAAATATTCAAATCACAGCAGTCGTGTGAAAACCCCGCGTTATTGTTTTAGGAACATTTACGTCCGCAATCCTACCTCTGTAGGCTGGCTGGAAGACAGTTTATCATCCTCTGTCTGTGTGGGCATTTTCAGGCCGCCATATTTCTTCCAATAAATCCAGCAAGATGCACACAACCTACACTGCATATTTGGAGGACCCCAAGAATACCACTGGTGAGACTGTGGAGCTAGGGAGAAGAAAACAGCACAGGTAAAGTGGTGCCCGCTGCAGACAACATACTAAATCCAAACGATGCAACAGATGGGTTTATATGGCCACAATATATGGCATTAGGAAAGCATTTTAACATAGGTATTTAATACATTTGACACGGAGGAAGTAAGAACTTGAATTTTGAGTTATGTTTTACAAAAGCAGCCCAGAAGTCAACTGCAAATGGACATTTCGAAAGTGCTTCCCTATTTAATTCTGAACCAAGGACTTTATGTTGCCAGGAAGACATCTTCTTCCAGCAGGCTACCAAGAAAAGTCCTATAAATCCTCTATTTCTGATCTTACGCAGGTTTATTATGCTGCTTGTTACTTACTAGGGTTAGTTAAGATCTGCTTTGTTGCTCAAGTCATGTAAAGTGAGTACTTATAAATCAAGATCCCCATATGAAAAGGAAAAGCACATCTGCTGAAGTGCTATGGAAGATGTACCTTTATCTCGTGTGAAGACTCTGCAGAGACAATAATTTAACCTTTTTCCTTTTCTTCTGGTAATCTTTCACAAGAAAACTCTTCTTTACAAAAACGTGATTTGAAAAACAACCACTTTAATTTAGCTGGTATTTGAGGACAGGCAGCCACAGTACCATACAGCAAGGGTACGTGAAAGCTTTTCCATTCCTTCTGGAGTTTTTAATACCTCCTCTCATACAACCTATGCAGAAGGCTGCTGTTTCAAGGAGTCCAACAGGGACCATCAGAAACACACCAAACAGTAGGAAGAACTCAACACACGCCTACCTCCCAACCACAATGGGGGGACACACAACACCAACACCCCCCCCCCAAACCAACTCGAAACCCCTGAGCCTTGAAGAAGAATCAGAATTAACACTGAATCCAATATTCTGAAGGGAAAGGAATAACCTATCAGGGCCATCACATTCTACTGCTTCATCTTTCCGTGCTTTCTGAATTGCTAAAAAAGGAACAGATCATAAAGTGCATTTGAATGTTAACATTTCATCACAATCCTGAAAGCGACTCTAACTTATTTCTGCTACAGAAGTCAATGAAAGTCACCCTCTGTAGCATGCAAAGTCAGAACCAGTGCAGACTAATATTAGCCAAACCCCCTGAATTACTAAAATAAAAGAAGAAAGAAAGAAAACTTTACTTACTATAGCAGCTTTCACAAGCCCGACCTATTAGCGAGGCCTGTGCCTGGTAAGAGGCTCCCATTGCTCCATTGACTGCAGCAGGTTTCCCATTGTTGCTGGATATTTGATTAGGATTTGGTTTGTTGCTTTAAATACAAAAGAATAAAACGGATTTCACCACCCTTTTAGTCAACATGAAAACAACCAACCTAGTCCTGGAATTCTGATGCCTGGTGACAACATCTGTAGAACCCGGCTCTAAACCACAAGGCTGGTCTTTATATTCCTCTTGCATTTTCAGCACCGTCAGAGCCTTGCTACGTGAAGAGCTGCTTTGATACTCAAACTCATAGATCTTTCTGAAATGCTCTCCCGTGGTCAGAGCTACTTGGCAAGCTAGTGAAAACTCCAATGTCAGGTCAAGCATCAACAAAACCTGACACAGCCCAGGGGCCCAGGCAAGAGACGAGGCTTTACAAGGTGAGGCTGGATGGTTATTGGGTTAAGTGGAACAACTAAGAGAAGCAGCACTGCCTGCAATACTACAAGGCTGTCCAATCCCAGAAGACAGCATGAGATTATTGCTGCCTCCTATTTCAAGCAGAAGCACATACTTCCACCAGCTGTAGTAAATGTGAATGCCTATAATCCTGGCAAAGCTCACCTGCGTAACATCAGGCTGTTCTGTCTGGGTTCTGTCCTAAATTACTTTGAGAGGCAGAAGAACTGGATTTGCCTTTTTTTCCCCCCTCTTCTTTTGGTTATATTGTATTATTTTACCTACTAATACTTCAGTGAAGAAGGGCTTTACAGGCCAGTTAATTCAGAGAGAATCAGTGTGTTCCTCACTAGGTTAAGTACAGCACTCCCAAACTCCAGCTTTGTGGGTGTTAGCCACCCCTCTGACAAAACAATGCAGGGCTGGATACACTGATCCCCCCCAAATCATTCATTACTTTAGGCAGCATAAAATGTATTCCAGATTAGCTACAATGACTACCCGAAGAAACCTTTGGTGTATCAGCTCTCTGCTCCAAACGCCTGTAAGTCTGCCTCCTACCTTCTCCTTTTTCACTGCATTCAGTGAGAGACACAATTTCCAGATACCCTTTTATCAAGTACTGGGGGCTCCGGGTACAAGAGAAGGGATCGAGACATGATTACATCTCCCAGTCCCTCCGGAGAGCATCCCGGCAGAAGCCCTGAACTGCCCACATGGGCCAAGGAAATTAAACTGAAAAAGCATTCTGTAAGGAGTGAGCATCTTTCAGTGCTCCCAAAGCAGCCGCTTCCCCGAGGGAATGAGGGAACACTCATTACCAGAGGTTTCAGCCGTTTTTGAACGGCATCATCTATTAGAGACCTGAGCTTCCAAACGCACATTTCTCCAGAGATGAGACTAAAAGAATGAATTTAATAGTCTGCTGTTTGTGTTATTAAGTCTGTTTATGAGAGAAATGTCTGTATGCAATATGGAAATGAAGTTCTATTGCATGCAATTTATACAAGTCACTGAAAAACAAGAGTGTCTCTCATTTGGTATTCTAGCATCATCCCACAATACAAACACTCCTAACAATGGGAAATTCACATATATATAAACTGAATGTACCCACAGGAAGCCTGACAGAACATCACCTGTAACCCTGTCTCTTCTCATAATCTTGAGGAAATTATGAATATGAAAGAGACATCATATCGTGTTTCTGTGAAGTACACGTTAACAAAAGCAGGTATAGCATCGAGTTTAAGTCTAAAAACCCCCTCAGAGGAAAACAGATTTCATTGACAAGACTTGGTCGAAGATAAAATACTTGGGGCTGTGTGCTAGCTACCTTTAATTCACAGCCAGAACATCTCTTGTTCCTAGCTGAAGAACAGATTGTATCAGCTAGATAAAACTCAGAGGGGAAAGTATCTCACTTTACTTGATGTAACTACATTAACAACTGCTTCTATGCTGAAATACTGCATTTACACAAACAGGAGGCATTGTGCTACAGGGATTGGAAAGCAACTGTTCTGGAAAACCTGCTTTCTGAATGGTAAGGCCCTTCTTGCATGTGACAGCCCTCATAGCACTTGATCGCCCTTGTGAAACTTCTCACCATTCCAGAGCAGGCAGTTTGCAGGTCCATGACAAAGGGCTCAGTGAAGTACAAAGGTTCCACTTGTGGAAAGAGCTTGTGATTTTCTGATTATCTCTCTATATATTGCTTGCATGCAACAAATACTAAGAAAGTAACCATTAAAAAGACAACAAGAAAACACCATGCACGTAACTGCACGTTACTGTTTCCATTCTACCTGCACAACCTTCAACAAGAAGACTTTATTGTTATACTCACTAGGTGGGGATGTACACTTGTTTCAACTTGCTCTCTGCTTCAGCCGCTTTCAGGCGTTTCTAGTTGAAAAACCAACACATTAAAATAGTTCATTACATTCAAACACGAGATTTCAGAACAGCGCACACAACCCATCCCGAAACCACTTCTGATTTGCGATTCCACAAGAGCCTCCAGAGCAAGCGCAGGACTCAGCAGGATGAAACCCCTGCAAAACGAGTTCCCTGGTTTTATTGTTAGCCTGAAATTGCAATACACTGTCCTCCCCACGGAAACTCCCAGGCCTCACATACAACAACCAGACCGTCAACCAAGCAATTACAGTGGACGCCGATTACACCTACCTAAACATTGTGGCCAACCTTAATTGCACAATAAGTAGGAAATAAATGCATGAAACTGCACACTCCGAGCTCCTCACCGGCCGTGCAACTCAATGCATCTTGTGTGCTACGTCTGACCTGAGGCTAGTATTTTACAAGCAGCAGAAGGAAGAGGAACAGTCAAGACCACTGACTGCTAGAAATAACTAAACATCTGCTTCCTTTCAGTGCCATTAAAACTGTAGCTCAGAACAGCAGCAGCAGGACAGCTACGCTATCATCAAGATCGTCTGTGAGTTTCCTAAATTACTACTTTCTTCATACTTGCAACAAATTCAATGCAGATTGCACTAAAGTAATACTGCTAACTTCCATAATGCTGAGTTCTAGTTATCACCATTATATTACACAAGCAACTAAGACAAGTATTTCAGCAATGGGCACAATACATCTGGAGCTCAGATGTCCACTGGTTACCTGTATATAAAAGATGAAGGAAAACCCACTGTTTCCCTGTTCTTCCCAAACTCAAGACATTAATTCTGCTCAGTTGCTTAAAAAAAAAAAAGAGAAAAAAAAGGAGGGGAGAAAAGGAGTTCAAACAAGTTTTATTACAGCTTTATTACAGAGGTGGGGGAAAAAAAGGAGGGACATTGATATCCAGTAGTAATTCTTACCAGTACCTGCCTGCCTCCCAAGATCCCCCCTTTCTTTCTTTATCAGGTGTCTAAAAGTGAGTCCTCCATTTCTCCTACAACAGTCAGTTCTCGCCTCTGCTACTCTCTTTATTGTCTGAGACCCAACCTCTGCAAGGTTCACAATCCAGGAAGGGATTTCCCACCTTGAGAAAAGCCATCAGCAAAGGACTCTGCTCCCGGAGCCTCTTGCCTGAGCCGCGAGGGGCAGGTTCCAGCTTTCCTGGTTGCACAGCCCCAGTTAAGCCTCCCCATGGAAGCAGCACCTCTTTCCCACTGCCAAAAGCTGCCTCTGTCTCATCCATCACTGTAACTCCCACATTTATAAACACTTCAGCTTTGAGGAGCAATCCATGGCAAACAAACTCCTAAGCAGTCTGTGTATGCCACCTTGAACGCAGGACAAGAGCCCTTTTGCATCCAGGTTTCTGCTGTTCACAGGTGCCTCGCTGTGCCCAGTGCTGCAGAAGCAACTTCCACATTCAGTGCAGTTGCAGTCCTTCCCCAGCACCAGGCTCAGCATCATTGCACTACCTTCAACAGGCCCATGGCAACATCCCAAACCTGATACGCTCTGCCTCGGTCAGCTTCTACAGGAGAAGGAGCAGCAGCATCACGCACCGAGCCTCATAAACTGAGTTTTCAATGGGAGAACATTTCACAGCCCCAGCAGAAGGGGTCTCAGCGGTGAATGAACTCTTCCCACTTAAGAGGAAAGCTTCAGACCACGGGCTTTCCACAACACTCTCCTTTTTCTCTGTTTTCCAAGAGAAAAAGCACCCGAGACTGCAGGTCAGGAGGTAACGTGCTCCACTGCATGAATTTATTCACCCCTTCTACAAGAGGATGAATAAATCTCCCTGCACACCTATCAAGACCATCAGAGCAATGTGAAGAACTCCATCAAGAGAAAGAAATGGGGAGAGAGGCCTTGAAGCACTGTCAAAACGTAAAGGCATTTGTAAGAAGCTGTGTCAGTGAGAAATGATGACTATACACATTAATTACATTTCAGCACGCTTCTAGGACTGGCATGGGGCTTGTAAGGAATGCAGTTTTGGCAAGTGCTTTCCTCCTTTATTTACGCAGAAGCAAATGATATACTGCCTTCTACGAAACAATCACACAACGCCCTTTCAGTAAACGCTCTATTTTTTTGCATTAAAACTGTGGTTAAACATTGCTCTCTAAAAGCAAAAGAGAACTTTACAGCTCGAATCCACACTGACACATCAACTGGAGGAGAAGAAAGGATGCAGAAACAAAACCATAAACAAAGAGCTGCGATTTCGGGGATTAAACCTCTGCCTGTTGAGAATGAGAGAATGGAAACAGGTAAAGTGTATGGAGGTTCTTCCCTTCTCCTGTTGAAAAGCCTTTTAGCATTGAATATTATACAGAGAACACCAGATTCAGTGGAATTCACCACCTGGCCTTGCTCATAATATATCATGGAGTGGTCACCCTAAGTGCTACATCACCAGCAGTGACACCCAAGGCCTGAATTAGTTTTGCTAGCCAGCCAGGTTCAGTTCTGAGAACATTAACACATCTTATTTCCCTTTGCCTTGCCCTCTCCACACCAATTTAGCACAGTTCAGCTGGGTTTAGCCCAATTCAGACCAGTCCAGCACACCTTAGCCCTGTGGAGCCCACTTTAGCCCAGCACAGCCTGGTTTAGCCCAGTTCAGCCTACTTGAGCCCAATTCAGATCTGTTCAGACCAGTTTAGCACACTTAATCCCAATTTAGACCAGCACAGCCCAGTTTAGCCCAGCACAGCCCACTTTAGCCCAGTTCAGCCTAATTCAGATCTGTCCAGACCAGTTTAGCACAGTTAATCCCAATTTACACCAGTCCAGCCCAGTTTAGCCCAGCACAGCCCACTTTAGCCCAATTCAGATCTGTCCAGACCAGTTTAGCACACTTAAGCCCAATTTAACCCAGTCCAGCCCAGTTTAGCCCACCACAGCCCATTTAGCCCAATTCAGCCTACTTTAGCCTAATTCAAATCTGTCCAGACCAGTTTAGCACACTTAATCCCAATTTAGACCAGCCCAGCCCATTTTAGCCCAGCATAGCCTGGTTTAGCCCAGTTCAGCCTACTTTAGCCCAATTCAGATCTGTCCAGACCAGTTTAGCACAGTTAATCCCAATTTAACACAGCCCAGCCAAGCCAAATTTAGCCCAGTTCAGCCTACTTTAGCCCAATTCAGATCTGTCCAGACCAGTTTAGCACACTTAAGCCCAATTTAGACCAGCCCAGCCCAGTTTAGCCCAGCACAGCCCACTTTAGCCCAGTTCAGCCTAATTCAGATCTGTCCAGACCAGTTTAGCACACTTAATCCCAATTTAGACCAGCACAGCCCAGTTTAGCCCAGCACAGCCCACTTTAGCCCAGTTCAGCCTAATTCAGATCTGTCCAGACCAGTTTAGCAGTTAATCCCAATTTACACCAGTCCAGCCCAGTTTAGCCCTGCACAGCCTAGTTTAGCCCAATTCAGATCTGTCCAGACCAGTTTAGCACACTTAAGCCCAATTTAACCCAGTCCAGCCCAGTTTAGCCCAGCATAGCCTGGTTTAGCCCAGTTCAGCCTACTTTAGCCCAATTCAGATCTGTCCAGACCAGTTTAGCACACTTAAACCCAATTTAACCCAGTCCAGCCCAGTTTAGCCCAGCACAGACTACTTTAGCCCAATTCAGATCTGTCAAGACCAGTCTAGCCCAGTTAAGCCTAGTTTGGCCCAGTTCAGCCCAGTTTAGCCCAGTCCAGCCCAGCCCACAACAGTTCAGCCCAGCTTAGCCCAGTTTGAAAGTACATGTCTAAAGCGTTCAGTCCTGTGGTGTACTGCCGCGTTCCAAGTTCAGCTGTTTGAAGTTTACTGAGTTACAAGTAAAACACAGGCATTTGGAAGAGCACTCAAGACGTAGATAACCATAAAGGTATGTGTTTTTCTTGTATGTGAGGCTAAAAACCCATCACACACCTTGATCCCTGCAACAACAGACTACTAAGAAAGCCCTAGAGAGCTTCAGGAAGGGAGTCTTAGTCTTTCACCAGCCCCTCCAGAGCAACTCCAGGAAACAAGATCAGCCTCTGAGCAACCTAAGAGTGTCAACACCAGTCAATTTGCACCTCAATTTATCCTTACTCCATGCTTTCAGTATCAATAGAATCTTCTCACCTCATCCTTCACTATCATCCCCTGCCAAATCCTTAAGAGCCAACACTCAGCACTGGCTAGCTGGTGACACCTTTCTAGGATCAAGATTAACATCACAAAAGAAGTGAAAGGACTGGAAATAAACCCAGAAAAAACCATCCCTTTCTGAACAGCACATTCTCTTTTATTGGTATTATGCACAGCACTAAAGGTCCCAGGGATAGTCACCATGTAGTAAAAGCCTTTCTCCCTTACTTTCTGTGACCTCCAAATAAACCAGAACAACCTGAAGCAATCATCCTTCTGGCACACTGGAACAAGAGCTGGAGCACTTCCAAAGATCCAGCTAACAGTACAGCTGCAATCATTAGAGCCCAGGAATTATTTTCAACATCACCACTGTTATGCAGCAAGTAAAGCAGCTACAAACTTAAATGCTAGCAAATCTGAGTTCCAAAGAATATTCTCCTGCCATCTGGGAAAACACAGTTTAGACCAGCCACGTACAGCACCGTTTAGCACAGTTCAGCCCAGTTCAGACTGGCTTACCCCAGTTCAGCCCAGTTAAGTCCGGCTTAGCCCAGTTCAGACCAATATAGCCCAACCCAGCACAGTTTGGACCACTTTAGCCCAGTTCAGCCTGGTTTGGCCCACTTCGGCCCAGTCCAGCCCAGCCCAGCCTCTTTTAGCCCAGTTAAGCCTAGTTTGGGCCAATTCAGAGCACTCCAGCCCAGTTTAGACCAGTCCAGCCCAACTAAGCCCAGCCAACAACAGTTAGCCCAGTTTAGCTCAGCCCAGCCCAGCTCACTTCAGCACAGATTAGCCCAGCTCTGTCCAGCCCAGTTTAGCCCACTTAAGGCCAGCCCATTTAGCCTACTCCAGACAAGCTTATCCCAGTTCAGCCCATTTCAGACTTGTCCAGCCAGGCTCAGACAGGTCCAGCCCAGTTCAGCCCAATCTTATTGCTGCAAAGCAGCACACAGTACAAATAGCTTTAAAACCCCTTCCCAGCTTTGTGATGTATCAGAGGATTTGACAATGTGCCCTGGGAAGAGCACAAAAACATCTGTCTAGAGCCTAAAGTATTACTGTAGGCCTCCCACAAGAACACAGATTTTTATGCTTTAACATGTTCCCGTTAGGATTGTGGCAGACTGGTTCATGCTGAAATAGTCATTAAATTACCTGCTGCACGTATCTGTCAGTGGTTTTCCACATATAATAATACTCAATGATGCTTGTCAGCGACTTCCAAGGGAGCTGAAAAACATTGGTTACAAATTAAAGTGGTTCCAAGAAACTGCAAGTGCACATCTTACTAACACGTTAAAATCAAGCAGAGGTGATACACAACCACCAAAATGTCAATCTATTCAATAACTGCATTAAAACCCATAGGCAAGTGAATACGTACAGCTACTAGTAATATACAACCTTTCCTTATAGTTAACAGGGACGAAGAATGACAACAACATCACACATCCAAACCCAACTGTAATCTGTTCTGTTTAAGCCATAAGGTTAAGCACAATGATCACAGCAGAACCCAGACTTCCATCAGGAAACACAGAAGGTAGTGTGTCTATTATCAAGTGTATCAGATGGAGAACAACATCAGGACTAACACAGCTCATCCTGACAAGACAGTGTTCGAGTCTCAGGATAATGTGGCAAAATACAATGGTTACTGCACTCAGTTCACAGGTTTTTCAAATCCAGCCAATGCCACTAGTTTGGCATAAACCTCCATCCAAATACTCTCAACCACTAAACACAAACAAAAGGATGCTAGGGACAAACGTTACCTTGAGCAACAAGAGTGGCTCTGACAAGAGGTGTTTCACCGAGATATTTTCCATCACCTGGCAACACGCAACACGGTACGTCCTAGAGGCATGCATTAACACCAATATTCTCTGCTTTCTAGAACTAAGCGTGATATTTTTAGGGAGTCCCAGAAAACAGAGGTGTGGAAACATCTTGCCAACCTTACTCACTCCCCTCTGGGGCTTTCTGCATGTCTGAAGCCAAAAGAACAGGTTCCTGAACCAACGGAGGAACACCTGTCAAGCTGTCTCTCCCTCTGTGCAGGAGCTCACAGCCAGTTTTCCCCACTGCTTGCTTGTGAACACTTAGAGGAACCGAGCCTGGCTCCCACCTCTGCCTTTCAGGAGCTGGGATTCAGGTCCAGACTCAGCTATGGACTCTTCCTTGGGCAGTGTACCAACGGTGTGTGCATCTGCACTTAATTAAGAAGTTGTAGTTTAACAAGTGCATAAGTTGATGTTTCAATAAACAGCAACATGGTTTGCTTTACTGAAATCCTTTAATTATGCCTTAAGAGAAGTCTACCCAAGCAAAGGCTAGCGACAGAAACGTGTTTGGTACGAGGTGACGGATGAGCTGCTTCTCAGTCTCTAGGCCCATAATCTTTGTGGCATCCAGATGAAACCACAACTACTTGCCATTGCTAACAAGTACATTTCAGCATCTCCATATTTGTTTTCCTTCCTGAGCACCTATTAACACATTTATGCTGCAGATTACCTTTGTCATTTCTCTAGAAACTACTTAAATCTGCTTTAACTATGCTTGTGACACCACTGTGCTCATTCAGCAGGCATCCACAATTAAATGAAGAGAAAATTAAGGTGCTTGTACTGCATAACAGATAATCCTTTTACACTCAGACTCCCGACTTGGAAAACCTGTCTGACACACTCAATTTGGTTATCCCGTATATTCTATTTACCTGCACACATCAATGACAGCACAAGAATTTTGTGAAGAGCCAGAGAAGCTGTGAGCAGCCATAGAACAATGCACTCTCATTACCAGAGTCTATCAAACACCGACTGCAGGAGGAAATTAGCAAAGAGGTGTCAGCGGTAAAAGAAACAGGGAGAGGGGAATTTTCAGTTCCTGCAGTTTCTCCAGGGTAAACACAGGCCACTGAAATCAGAGCAGCAGGAAAACCCTGGATTTATGCAGTATCTCTAAATGAACATGTTAACTTTAAGGCATGTTTCCACCATTGTCTCAAGCTGGAAAGCAGCTGCTCCTGTCTTCTACAAATGGTTCAAGTCTGATTCCCAAGGTCCTTCCTGCTGTATCTGAGATCTAACAGGTAGATGTTTGTGAAAACTTGATCGCGGAATCCTAAGAACTAACAAGCACAAAAGCTGTCTCTTACGTGAGGAAAACAGTTATAATTGGAGAACGCAAAACATTCAGGCTTCTTCCACTGTACTCCCCTGCGCTGTGAGGTAATTACAGTACATCAAGTCAATTTAATTAACTTAAGAAGTTTAGGTTGATTAGGATTCACATAGGGTCTTAAAGACAGCAGAACCTCAACAGATGAGCTGCTGTAACAGCTGATGAGTCAACAGTTGATGAAAATGACTGTTCAAAGGCAAGACTGGTGACTGGATAACAAATGAGCTTCTCCTGTCTATTAAAACAAAGGTAAACTCCTTCATGCCATTTAATTTATAATAATTGTTTGCTTACTAATACTTCATGTTTATAGCTTAATGTTTGGGCTGCACATCGATTGCCAAACAGTGCCAATCCTTCCTTACTAACTGCTGGGAAAGCAAATAAACCTGCCCTTTAGGATATCGTACAAAGACTGCAACTGCTGCCGTGCCTTGCAAACCCAGCCTGATTCAGCAAAGGCAACTCCTGTGGCACAGAATGACTTGAGCAGGCACTACATAACCCCTGTGCTTCAGAAAGCTGCTACCAACCACTTCCTGCTACACAACATGACAATCTTGCCCGTGATGCGGCACCACTGCACGACTGCTTAGGTTCCAGTTTGACCTCAGGCACCACAGGGTCTAATTTTATCATCAGATCCTACGTGGAGACCCGGACAAGTTCACACACACACGCTACCAGTGCATTAGTGTCTTTGTCCATGCTCTTGTAACACGTGTTAACAGTACTCACTTTTCAATGACGAGCCACTGAAGAGAGGGAAGATTACAGATAAATGTAGTCTGGTGGAAAATCACTGCTTAAGTCCTACATATTTATACCTACCTCACGCTGCAGAAACTTTTCATATACCTGTAACCTAAGTCTCGAAGGACTATTTCAGAGGATCACTTAAACCCAAATATTTGTTTTCAAATGCCTATAGTTTTAGAATGCTACACAGCAAGTGAGAACACAGTAATTTTACTCTAGAGAAATGAAGATATCCCAAGATTACACAAGTATTAATAACGGAAAGATTTCAAATTACACAGCAATAAATCAAGACTGTGTGCACCAAGTTATCAATACCACGGAAATTGATATGTAGAATAGATGCTCTCCTAACGATGTTTTAAAAATGATATGCCACTTTTCCCACGGCAAAAGAAGTGACCAAGGACAGACTACCTACCCGTGTTAACTAAATGAGACTGTACTCAATTAGAGCCTCCCATCCATTGCTGCTGCACTCTGACTCATCATTAACGTGCCCTGAGTAGGCTGCGCAACCCTACCTCTAGATGTGTGCACGGCTCCCTTTGGGAGGAGGGCATGGAAAGAGAGCTGCGTTTTGGGAAGGAAGATTCAGTGAACGAGAGAAGGTACCTACCCGAGATAAAATCTGAACATTTTACATGGCTTCTGGTAGGCTCATTCATACCTAGCATCTGAACATGGCAAACACATAAGCAATTCCTGCAACACATTACTCCACTGTATTAATGTCTGCATATCCCCAGAATTCCATGCTGTGTAACACAGCAATTATACACAGAATAATACAAGGTGAATACCAGAGACAAGGCTTGGGTATACTTGGTCACAAATAGCGTTAGGACTCGACTTGTACACAGACAATAAAACCTCAATTACACGCTTTTGAAAAGCCAAATACTATGTATTAGGAAACATCTACTGTTTTGACTCGATGATCTTACAGGTCTTTCCCAACCTAGCTGATTCTGTGATTTAGTTAGAAGACATAGCTACTGGACTACTGCACAATTACAGCTGAGGACCATTCCTCTGTACGAGCAATAATAAGGAACTGCATTTTACATCAAGATTTCAGGTCTATAACTCCATCAAATATTCTTTTCTGATCATATTCTCTTGAACTTAGCAGAGCTGTTTCATCCGTGATGCAATTTTCAACCTGATGTGATGAATGCAATGAACATTTTCTCCCTTGGGAACCTCAAAATGAAGCATGCAGATATAATACACCTGTTAAAATGTCAGCTCTTCAGAAAAACAATAGCCTTCCCTTCCCACCATCGCTCCATTATCTGGTTCATTTCAGAACTGTGGAAGTGAAAGGAAGACAGCTTAGCTCAGTGCCAAGCCTCATCCCACTGTCCCGCACTCATGGAAGGCCTTCTACATTTACCATACTGCATCATTTTCCCCTCACAAAGCCTATTAATAACCTCTGCAAAGAAAAAATAGATCCGAGCTCTCAGAGTCAAGCAGAATGAGATTGTGGTGGAAATGTTTCAACTGCCTTCACTCTTACATAAGGGATTCCTTTAGCTCAAATCCTAACCTTCTTACAAAGCCCAACTTGAACTCAGTACAACAGAGGAAGTCTTTTCCCTTGACAGAAAGCAGCTCTACAAGAAACATGCAAAAAGCTTTGCAAACTACCACTAACAACTCCAGCAAAGTGTTAGAATCAATTTAGTTTAATTACTCTGCGTTAGAGCTCAGTGAATGAAAGCTCTGCTGCCCTCCAGTACCAAAGCCAGTGTAGTTAAAGCCTAATGGAAAACATTTCCTTTATTTTTCAAAAGAACCAAAACATCTCGTAAGTCAAATAACTCCCTGTAGTGCACTTTCAAAAGCTATCCGCATATAAACTTCTCTCTGCTAATCACAGGAGGAAAACCCAGCTTCCCAAAACCACTGAGGGGAGTCAGCCACGGAGCTGCTGCTGACTTGCAGTGGAAATTGTGCTGAAGTTCTGAAAAGTTGCTGGAACTTGTTCAGATGCTTATGAAACCCTCGGAGAAGTCCTCATGAAGCACGTCAGCACACGACATCCTACCTGGTATTAAACCATTAAACGGGTTATCCTTCCAAAGAATGGCACTGAGCAAGAAAGCACACTGATTTTCACTCGGATGAAAACAGATGTTAATTACATGTATCAGCTGCACAGACTTCTCCCTCCTGTAGCTGATCTTCCAGACCTACAGAGAGCAGCTATGCTCACCCATGCGAAAACACAGCAACAGAAAAGAGTACTACTTAAGTACTTACAAAGTCTTGTCGAATGTCATTGAAGTCCTTGCCATACTTTTCCAATGCCTCTTCAAATAAACTAGCTTCTGATGCTGACCACTCTTCCATCTCATCTCGACACAAGACAGGTCCTCCAAGTGGCACTAGGACACTGATGGCGCTGCTCAAATCATAGTTGTGTTTATGCAGTGTATCCATTGCATGAAACTAGCATGGAGGCAAGAACAAAACCCACGTTTAAACAGACAGTAGTCCATTTCAGTTAATGCAAAGTCAATGCATTATTTCCTATAAGCCATGCAAAAAGTCTCAATTACTGCTGAATTCAGATTCTGTCTTCCTATCACAGGCTGTCTGCTGTGGAACATAAGGAAGGTACCTTGTTTATTCGGTAATCTGGGAAAGGAAGTGTCTTAACAAAATGTTTACTAAAAATATCCTCACTTTATTAGTTCCTGCAAGCACTTCTACAGAATCTTTAGTTGGTAGCAATTGGTTCCAAGTAACTCGATAGAGACCGTGGCATATATTGACTGAGGAGCTATTTTCAATTAACCCAAGTTCTAAACAGCAGCTGAACCACTCCTGGGCATCTATGCGCTCGATATTCTCAGTGCTGGCAAAGGAAGCCATTTATTGTTTTCATTATTATCATACTGAAAAAAGAGCAAGATTTTTGTCCCTTACTAAACTCGGTTGTCAGAGATGGGCGAATGAGGTGTCTCTGGTTAATGCACTTTCTGCTACAAAAGAGGAAAATCAAAACCAAGTTATAGCATCCTTCCCTTTACAGGTAACCCTGAACGCTTGCATCGCAAACCTACGCTGGGGAATATGAATACTAAGCAACTACATCACAAATCTGGCCCCAGGGAAAATGAGCAACACAGAAGCAGCCTTTCTGACTCAGCGTCCCAGAAGACCCCATCACTTAAACTGTTGTGCTGAAGGAGGTATTAGAGGTATGAAGTGCAATGATGCGTGTGAATGTGTCCCATGACAGTGATGAGCTGTAACTCGTAGCACGCCAACTCTCACGCAGCCCTAAACTCATCTTATGAGAGGGGGCACCCCAAACCTTTCAAGGAAGGAACACTCTTGTGTTATGTGTCAGTATAGCACTTGCAGAGCATTTCCAGAGGAGCTTCTGCATACAAATGTACTGCAAGTAATGAATTCTCCTTGTCTTTTGCCATCTAAGAGTGGCTTAAGTCTTTCTCCAGCTTTCAATACACCTCTTTGAAAGCTTATCAGGCACGAGATTCTTGAACTGTTTTGTCTGCAAGAAGCAATGTCACTATTATCCTGCAATATGTCATCTTCCTTATAGCTCAATTCAAATTCAACAGCCTTGAGAAAAAGCAGTTCTTAAAATGAAGTATTCTAATATGGAAATAACTAACACATCTAAAATCCGTTAACTTCAGGTTAAAAAAATGTACAATGGAATCACTGATTTATTGCTTATCATTCAGGCAAGGAGTAACCCAGGCCTCAAGACCGAACCCTTACAGTGTATGTGTTACCAAGGTTTAAACCATTGTTTAAATCCCAGCCTTTGTGGAAAAACTCGTCATTTTTCCAAGCAGCTCCTAAATCCAGATCTATTCACTGATAGCAGCTTTCTTAGAAACGACAACAGAAGGGAATAAATCAGGATCTGGCTCTTGCCTTATGTTCAGTTTTTCCCATCTATAATGAACACCTGATTCCACAAAGCCTGTTTTGGTGTTACTGAAGGGAAGATCGAGCTCTGTGGATAAGCACTGTTCTCCCTGAGCTAGCCGCTCTGTGACAGAAGACCACTGCCAAGCTCGCGTGGTAACAACCTTTGCCTTCTGCAGAGCTGTCAGCCCTCACCTGCAATCCAATTCCCACAGTAAACTGTGCCAACACGAGCACAAGCAAGAGCAGCCTGAAGACATTACTAGAGACCAAGACAAAAAGTCCTGGAGTATCCCCGTTAATCTTCTTCACCTAAGGATGAGAAGACTGCAATACACAAGGTACTGGGTACCCGATACCTAAGGTGCAGGAGGCTGGGAAGACCTGGGGGTGCCTTTCCCAAATAGGACGAGTGGAGGAACCACCCTTCCTTAAGAACTCTTGCCCAGAGCATACTGGCCAGCACAGACAAGGGGTCCCGCCACAGGAAAGGTATTAGCCACAGAGAGAGGTAATTTCCAGTCCAAAAGGAAAAGGAAAAAACTCTCCACCAAAAGCTAGGGAAGGACTGCATGGAGCTGGGAGCAAGGGGGACAGCAGGGCATGCTGCAAAGGAGCTGTAACACAGCTCCCAAACCAGCTGCAGTTTTAGTAGTCAGTTAAATCAGGCTAACTGCCTCCAACAAAGCATGCAGCGTGTGGAGTCTGTGATTCAATGATATTTCAAGCATGTTTATCTTAGGAGCTACATATACTGAAGTCTAACAAAAATCAGTATAAAGATGCCATTTGAAATGCAAAGGAAAAGCTTGTTCATACTCTTCCTTTTGAAGAGACACCCAAAACCAGATTTACACCCTTAAAGTACCATGGTCTCTTCCAAACAAGCCCACCACAAGGAACAAGCGATTCCATCAACCTGCTTTGCTTTAACAGCTCTCACTGTCAGTGTATGCACTATGTGGTGTTTAGGAACGTGAAACAGGAAGTCTTCCCAGTTTCTTTCTCTTCTCGGAGATCAACTTCCATTACAGTGTGAAACACTGCCTCTGAGAAGGGCAGAAACGCAAGTGTCGGTTGGTTGCCTCACTGCAAAAGAACATTTACTCTCACCCGAGAAGGTAAGCACGGGTTGTTGCATGTCTTTGAGTAGGTTCTTCTCAAAGCACTGTTAGTTTCCTGCCTTGTCTCATTAATTTGCCCATGTTTTCAAACTAACGATACATGGAAGCAGCCTCTTACTTGCTGTGCATCTGCAAGACCTCCTTAACGTGTACACCCACCCTGAATTCACTCATGTTTATAGCCTTCACATTCACTGCGGTTTAGGTTTTCACATCAGCCTGTTTACAGCCATCTCTAATTGAAACAACTATTTAGGAATCCTGGAAAGGTGTGGTGTACAGAAATCCCATTAAGAACACTTCCAGTGCAAGGGTTATCTGCCTTGCATTAAGAATACAAGCAGGATCACTTTCTTAGTGTTACGCACCCACATCCCTTCCAAAGCACAAATGAGATACAGACTTTGCCAGAACTTGTGGTGTAACTGACTGCTGCTCAAAATATGCTCCCAATTAGCACGGGAACGTCTGACAGAGTAACTACTATGACGACAAATATGTCTTGTCTTAACTTGGAAGTACATTGCCAAAGAGCACAAGAGAAGGGTTTTTAAAAGCTGAGCAGGTAGGAAAATGGGGACAGACAAAATAAGTACACTTGGGGTGGCTTCTCTGGCGCCTCATTGTAAGATGTGCCTTTCATTAAGTGTAATGGAACTTAATGGATCATGTGCAGTGGAGAAACAGAGGACACTCAAACGCTAAATGCATCCCCTTCTTAGCAGCACTGCACATGTACTTTTAAACAAGAAGAAATTGCTATGAGGACGAACCTGCTCTATTAATCACTGCACACAGCAAGAAGGATGCACAATGTGTGGGATTTATTATAAACACTTAATCAAATGAAAACTTAATAAAATGGAAAATGTTAAAGAGCTGTTTTGATGGACAAATTAGACATTTAATGTGAACAGAACTGCACTGGTCAGATCAGCAAGTGTGAAACAGAAAGCGGTCTGAGTATTACTGAAGCCATCACCTTTTGCAACTGCCTTTCCTGCACTACCATAGTCCAGCTTAATCAGTTTCCTGTTTAATAGCCTTTGAGTACACTGAAAAATGCAAGAAATTAAACATTTTTCTCATGATATTACTGAATATATATTATCTGGAATACAAGAATTGCCCCACGGAATCAAACCAGCCATCCACCTAGCCATAGCCAAGCAGTGCCAAGGGATGTTACTTAAGAGAAAAGAAGTAGCTAAGTCTGACCACGGTCTGAAGTCAATTCCCATTTCATTCCCCAGCGTCTCCAAACGTTGGGAATTAGGAAGGCTAGATGGCACACCTCTCCCTGTTCTCCTTAGCACCCACTTATGGACCTATGGTCCATAATTTTTCTAATCCCTTTCTTTTAACCTCATGATATTATCTGTTCCCCCAGAATTCCTTTTGTTCTCACGTAGTTTTCCTGGCACCCTTTTATTACTGTGGCACATCTTGTCACCTCAGCTAATATGAATATACAGAGACAAACCTTTGGTCTGTAACAGATGTATTTTTAACTTTCTCTAAAAGATGTAGGTGCTCACATTACAGTGAATGCTTTATCAAACTAAGGAAACATCCTAAAGGTATCTTAAGTAAACTATTCCTCAAAAAGTTGCTTACAAAGTCAGATTGCTTCTCCTTTATAAATGTACTGACACATGCATCTAGCACAAAATATCAAATCAATTTTCAATCAGCTTTATTACCACCTACTCTATATCACGTTCTGGATCATTAGATTGAACGAATCCCTACACAATGTGTACTATGCACTCTGCTGAGCCTACTATCACAGAGGAAGATACTTATTTGAAGAGATTCAGGTTAGATCTAAGGCAGAAGCTCTTCCCTGGGAGGGTGCTGAGGCGCTGGCACAGGGTGCCCAGAGAAGCTGTGGCTGCCCCATCCCTGGCAGTGCTCAAGGCCAGGTTGGACACAGGGGCTTGGAGCAAGCTGCTCCAGTGGAAGATGTCCCTGCCCGTGGCAGGGGTTGGAGCTGGATGAGCTTTAAGGTCCTTTCCAACCCAAACCAGGCTGGGATTCTATAGAGTGATTTACAGTATGGCTACTAATAAACTTACAGGAAACACACACGCATCTTGCACGCAGGTATTGGGAAGGTGTCCAGAGGATGAGGACTCTGCAGTCACGCATACTGCTGAATTCCCCAATATAAAAGAAGCTGTAGGGTTTTAGGAAGCCACCTACCAGTGTGATGTCTCGGGAAGCAGCGGCTGCGCTCATGTGTAAACTAGGTTGCCTGACAGAACTACTGCAGTCCAATGCTCGAGCGAACGTGCCAACCGCACTGCAACAGAGAGACAACAGACAGTAAATCCACAGAAAGGTGTAACCTCTTTTTTCACTGTCAAACATATAAAGGTGTCCTTTTAAAAACAAAAGTGACGTCTTGTTACTCTTAAGATTTCAGATCTTTGCTAACACAGGACGATGTGATAAAGACAGATCACTAAACGCTGCACCAAACCCTCCAACCTTCTCCCCCAGAAGTAACAACCTCCCTACAAGAACAACAGCACAGAGACAGAAGATACTCGGAGAATCCCAACATTCCAACTTGTAATGTACCATTTTTTTAGTAATTAAAAAGGCAAAGTTCCCATTCAGTTTGGGGTTTGCAAAAGTGACTACTACGTTCAAAATTACAAAGTCTGTTTAATAAAATAAAGGACACTGTTTAATAAAAAACAGCAGTTAACAGAAGGGGTTTCACCATGTTCCCATGAGGAAACTAGTGACATTTTGATCACTTCAGCAATGCACGTCTACTGCTTCCATTAGCGAGGCAAAGAAAGCATATTAAGCTAGTCTAAGGTACCCCCAAATCCTGCTTTTTCCACAGGTTTTAAGTAATAGTGCAATAAACAGACCTCTCAGCCTACTTAATAAAAGCATCCCAGCATTACTGAAATGCACGTGTTTCTCTCCAAAACTCTGCCTTTTTTTCTTTTCAACTCCACTTTTGTGGATGACTTGCACGTGGCAGTTATGTACTTACCGGAGCAACGAAAAGGAAGAGAGAGAGGGAATTACTGTGACCAACACTGTTAATACAGGGCTAGCCTCTGGACTAAGGACTGGAGCCTCCATCAGCAATTACACTGCCCACAGATTGTAAGTGCAGAAATACACCAGTGAGGAATGTCATTGACAGAGATCAACACAATGCCAAGCGTCACGTTACTGTGTACTGTAAACCTGATATTCAACAACAAAATAACGTGCATCAAGAGTTGAACTCATTAAGATGTATTACTGATCATGGCGAGACTGGCAATAACATCTGCTACGGCAACTTCATCCTGACTCTCAAAACATTTAATAGCAAATGCATGTTTCAGTACTCGCTGCCAAAACCTTACAAAACACAGTCAAGATTCAACAGCAGTGATTCACACACTCCAGATATTAACTGCCTCAGTTTCTAAAGGCTGTGGAATAAATAAGTTATATTCAAACACTGTTCCACAACCTTTGCTCCCTCTTTGCAAAGATGGCAAACATGTGCCAAGAACACACGCACACACACATTCTATTTTGTTCCTTTAAGCTTGGCACTACATAGAACAGTATTTGTTCACAAATCAGTCCCAAGAATAAGGTTCCATTGTGAACGCACTTCCTGATAGTCAGTCAGCCCCTTTAACCACGTTGGCATTGAGAAGGGTTGTAGCTAAACGGCCTTTCCTGTGACCCTTCTGTCGCTAATGTTCAACCCAGGGAAGCAGCACGCGGCGTGACTGTATTTCCCTTCTCCTGCTACCTGCTAGCTCCTTATCTTCCTTTTGCATAATTAGCACCATATTCTTTTGACCATATTTCTAAACCAAAAGCAGGGTACGATCTGGAAATTCCAGCGAGCGTGTTCTCACAAGTCCCTCTCTGGCACGACAAACTTGAGGCTGATTTCTGGCCCTGAGAGCACGTGGATTACGCTGCCCGGTATGTAAAGGCAAAACGAAGACACACTGTAAAGCTAGGTTTATTCTGAATACGTGACAAAGAGGTAAGAACTGATGCACTGCCTGACACTGCTTCCTGTGCTGTGCTGAGTAGGAGAGGATCATAACCGTCAGAGCCATGCTGCGTTGGAGTGCGGGGTACATGAGGGCAAACCAAATGAGGTATCACCATAAAACGCAGGCAGCGTGCCATGCCGGGATGGGGGACGTGCCTGTGGCTCTATCTTGAAATCAGCATCACTTCCAGTTCACCTCCTTTTGGCTGTTAAACAGTAATTAGTGTCAGAACAGCGGTGCCAGGCAGCAGGACGAGCGACAGCGGGCATAACCCAAAACAAAGGAAGCTTCACATGAACACGAGGAAGAGCTCCTTTACTGTGAGGCTGGCAGAGCGTTGGAACAGGGTGACCAGACTGGTTCTGGAGCCTCCTTCCCTGGAGATACTCAAGAACCATCTGGGACACGTTCCTATGTACCCTGCTCTAGGTAACCCTGCTTGAGCAGGGAGGCTGGACCACATGAGGCAGGGTGGTTCCTTCAACCCGTACCGTACTGCGAGTCAGGGATACACAGTGCTCTGTGTAACCTAGCCATGCAATCCGAATCCAAACTCAATAGTGATTTTAGAAATCACTAAAATCCTTAATTTTTGGTGGCTTTTTTTCCATTTGAAATACAAATATGAGGAAAATACTGATACAAAGGTCAAACATTTCCTCTGTCATTTTTCCTTGCATGATTTTTCTTATAATGCCACCAAAGAATTAGTTAAAAAAGATGTTAAAGGGGAAAAAACCCACTAACCAATGCCTGCTTTGAGAAGAAACACTCTCATCTACTCCTTCCCTCTTTTAAACAGGACTTTGAGTTCAACAGGAACCAACAGTCCCCATGCCTGCCACAATGAGCCAAAGCCAGAAGGCACACAGTGAATTACAGAGGTGGCAGAGAGATGACACAATAAACAAGTGCTGTTATCAGCAGAGAGCTCACTCTTCGCACAGGCAGCATCAACAAGCAGGTAGCGGAGCTTTAAGGGTTAGACCAAATGATGCAGCGTGATCTTAATTAAGTTTTCCTCAGTTTAATTATCTTAAAGACCAGAACCAAGATCGGTCTCTCCAGGACTGGTAACAGATTGCAGCTGACAACCATACAAACATAAAGCAAATTGAGAGACTGCAGTGCCAGGCTCAGAGACCACCGAATAAACCCACAAATTCAGCAAAACTCCACAATGCCCACGTCCAAAAACACCTGACAGTCTCGTGGCTGGGCATCCTGCACTGGGGCAAAACTTCAGGGTAGGTGCTGAACACACAAAACACTGCTCTCAATGTTCTCAACTTCTTACAGTTCAAGCCTGGACGTTAAAGGACGTGGTTGTTCCAGTTTCTGCCTTGGATCAGTATTAGTCAATCAAGTTGTGAACCAGTAAACAAGAGACTGTCATAAGCATCTCTAAAGATTTAACTGCTGATCAGGAACTACTTTTGGAAAGGGCTGTTCTTTACCGAAGAAACTCCAGAACCACTGCAATTATACACCAGGAGAAAAACAGCCACTGGCTTTCACCAGCAGCCTGGCATCAAATCAGATCCAGCAAGCTCTGGATCCAGCCAAGTAGCTCTATTTTCCTCTTGTATTCCCAAAAATCCACCCAAGTTCCTTTTTAATCTGGATGCTCATCTGAAAACTGTTCACTTTTATATGTTGCTTCTCTGCTTCAGTGATAGAGGATGAGCAAGGGGGGCACTCTGGATGAATCTGTTTCGAGTGAACCACCTCTGTGTGTCCATGAATCTTCCTCACACATCTGCAAGCTAATGAAGGAGACCTGTGCCCCTCCTCGGAGTTATTGCTGCTGAGGAAAAGAATTAAGCGGATCTTTGGGGGTTTCCTACACATTAGGAAAGCTTTCTGTTTTCCGTATCATTTTGGCAACGTTCCCTTTCACTGCAAGCTGGAAACAGTCCTAAAAAGTCATGTCTTACACTGCTGTAAGTAACAGCATTTTACAGCCAGTTAATATCTGATTGCTCCTTAACAGTCTCGTGATGCTTAAAAATACTCCTTCAGTGGAGACCCGTATCCCCAGCACAATACTGACACTGCAAAAATCCTCCTGAGATTTTTACTACTGGAGAATGCAAAATCTGACATAAAGAACGCATTTAAAGTAAGATGCTGCTCCAGAAGACAGCTTTTCCTTGCATTTCTAAGCAGCTGTCTGTACAGTGCTACGCTTCATTGTCATCACTTCAGGTCTTGATGGCACAAAAGGAGATGACATGATACACAAGAAGTCAGCTGCCACTGCTCTTTCTCTGAAAGATTCTCAAAGCTTGGGGTAGGGGCTGACGTTCCATATAACATCCCCTATGCACCACAGCTGGAACTTACGTTAAGTCTTTGTTATTCATCAGAAAGAGAGCCTGATACATGCAGGCAGCTGCATTCAGGGGGTAGGATTTAAGCAATCATCTGCACATCATCCTGCAATTTCACGCTCACGGAGATGTACAGCTCCCAGAAAGCAGGTCCATGAAAACGCTACTGAAGAATATTTTCCTTTACAATGCAATAAATCAAAATTCGTTAAAAACAAACAAAAAAAAATGCTGACAGAAATTCAGCTCCAAGTCTGAATTAGTTGTTTTCAAAAGAACTCGGTCAAGAAGAAGCAGAGTAACACAAAATGCAGGAAGGAAGAAACATCCATTAGCCAAGCATGATGGAGAGGCAGAAACGTAGTATTTTTGATACTCCTAGTAAGCATTATGTGAACGTATTTTTCCTTTTATTGCCAAACTATCTGCCTGCCATTAGGTGCTGTAATTCACGCTGCCAGCAAAGGTCTGGTTTTGCTAGTGCACCACTGGCATCAAGTTTTTCACCTTCTTTACCACATAATTTTACGTTACAATTCCACCATTAAGTTTTATTACCTCTTTAATGAACTCCGATTTCTCTTAACTTCTCACCACCTAAAGAGAATCCAGAAAGAACTAATGCTGAAGCTTTCAAACCAGTCACTTCCAGGTATTTGTTTTCACTGATGAGCTCTGGGATTCTTGCCTACTGCCACCGACTACACCGAATGATCTTGCAATAACAGAACATTACTATCTGAGCACACTTTTACATGTTTATACATAACCTCAGTTGATGAGTGCATTCTTTTCCTTAATACGATGACAGACACATTGCCAGCTGAAGCTGCACTGGGTTCCCTCCCTCACTGCAGGATAAATTGTTGTAACAAATACACCTCCAGATATACCGAAATACCACGAGCGCTTGCAACTAAATCAACAGTGACCAACAGAAGATTAATACAATCGCTGTCCCAGAGAAAATGGCAAAGTGGGAACAACTCAGGAAGGATCAAGCTCTAATGATGCACATGAAGAGAGTGCACGATTAACATTTAGTTTTCCATTCTTCTGTGACTTTACACCAAAAAAATAAGCAGGCATTGCAATGAAGATAAATGGGTTATGCTAACCAGAGGTACGCCGTGCCATTTGACTTGCAAAGAAATCAAAGAACTGCATTTTAAGGCAAAGATGCAGTGCTTTAAGGCTACTTAATTAGTCTTCAAAACTCTGTTTCAGTTGGAAAATGGCTGGGACCACAAATACCCGGAAAACAGCTTGATTTAGAGATATATCCTTCCAGAAGATTATGTTGGTAATGTAGCTAGATGAAGCAGAATAAAAGAACTAAGCTGTTAACTGTTCCACTGCATCATAAAGCACATAAACAGAACTAGAATGCACCAAAAACATATTATGTAATGAATTCCAGACCGAATTAGCAGATAGATAGAAAACAGGAAAAAACAGGCTAGGTCTGCGGCTCCCAGCATCTGTCCAGACCGGAGCTCACACCTCCCACCACATTTGACTCCGACAAACGAAAGACAGGACTATCAGACACACAACAGAGAAATTTCTATTTCCCAATACTATGCGATCTGGAACAGAGTTAGAAAGAGAACCTGAGATCTCACAAGGAAATGGAGTACTCCTTGTATATTAGGAATGACAAGAGACTGCTGACTGGAGAAAACAGGCTTCACCTGGATCAGTGTTTTAGTTCAAGGTAGGAATGGGTTTTCAAAGGGGCTGCACCCAGCATCTTTACCTACTGCACTTCAACCAACATCAAAGATGTCTTGTAGCACACAGACTGGATTTCTGTGAAGTTAAACGTACCCATAGTATTTAGTCCACAGGAGCAGGCTGGAATTAGCCCAGAAATAAAACTGCTCAAAATGCGCATAGTGTGGATGCCAGGTCCTCAGCACCAAACGCTGCAATCCCTCAGATCCACTCTACTACATTGTACTGTTTGCCAATGTGGACAGACCTAAACTGCTCTTGCAGCTTCTCAGAGTCCCGTTCCTTAAAGCTGGTAGACACAAAAACTGACGACTCCACATTTGATGATTACATTTGAATGGAGTAGAAAACGGTGTCAGAATTCTCACTGCCAGAGCATAAATGACACTGCACTACCAAAAACCAACTCAAAACCAGTTTGATGCCTCAAGCTCCTCCGAACAGATGCAGATGCTTTTTGCTAGTTCAAGCAAGAGCCCTTGCCCAAATTATGCTTAAGTAGCAATAAGGTACTTTCAAGATTTGTAGGCAAGCAAGACTACTTAGGGAGCTCAAAGTTATGGATCCTTCCATTCAAGTACTCATATGCATTCTCCCAATCTCCAGTTTCTGGACAGGATCAGCAAATTCTACCTTTATATCCAGCATACTAGGGGCTTGGTGACAGACCCACACTGAACAAGCACACAAGGCTTTTTATTCCTGAGGCAGTAAACCTTGCAAGACCTGGGAAAGCCACATGCCTGAGTGCAAATTTGTGATGCCACCCAAATGCTGGGCAACCTGAACGCTGCCAGGGATGGGGCACCCACAGCTCCTCTGGGCACCCTGGGCCAGCGCCTCAGCACCCTCACAGGGAAGAGCTTCTGCCTTAGATCTAGCCTGAACTCGCCCTGTTTCAGTCTGAACCCATCACCCGATGTCCTGTCGCTGCAGTCCCTGATGAAGAGCCCCTCTCCAGCATCCCTGTAGCCCCCTTCAGACCCTGGAACCTGCCCTGAGGTCTCCACACAGCTTCTCTTCTCCAGGCTGGATAGCCCCAGTGTTCTCAGCCTGCCTCCATACGAGAGGTGCTGCAGCCCCTGAGCATCCTCGCGGCCTCCTCTGGACTGGCTCCAACAACTCCATGTCCTTCTTGTGCTGGAGAACCAGAACTGCACAGTGCTGCAAGTGGGGTCTCACCAGAGCAGAGCATGTGAAAAACATGCAGCACGTTAAAAAGGACCACATGAAAATGCTTCCAGAAAGTGAAGCACAGCTACGTACACACAGCTCCCCAGAACGACGGCCAGGAAAGCAGTTAGGAAAAGGCTCTTATTACCAGAATTTCAGGTTTGCAAAACCATTCCCTGGAAACCCAGCAGGCACAGCCAGTGCCCGGTGAACTGCAGTTAGGCCACAGCACTTCTGAGTCTGTAAGCAGTTTACCAGACCATAATACCAACTCTGCTGTTACCCAAGAAGCTTTTAATGGTCCAGTATAATGAAAGCTTGTACCTGCAAGCACACAACTGAATTTAAAGCTGCCACAATCATTAAAGGAGAATGGCTCCTCCAAAAATTGGTCAAAATTGGTCTCAGAAGCACTTAATGCAACAGCAAGCTGATCTTGCAGCCTGGGAATAGAAATGTATAGGAGCCTGGGAACAGCTTCTGTCAGTTCAAAAGCAGCTTCCAAAGGCAAAGGGAACTTGGTGGATGTACATCGATGAAGTGGTACCCTAGTAACATCTGATTACGGACAGTCATCAGCGACTGCCTGCCAAAACATCTTGGACAGCTGTGATTTACCAGCTATGACCAAGAGCCATTCCTGTCGTAACAGAAACCTTTACAGAGAGGAATACATCCTTGGTCAGGGCATGGCACAGGATGTCTTAAGGAAGGTGAAGAAGAGAGGAGAATGTTTTTCCTCTAGAATCTCACTTCTTCCCTTTCACTTCCCTGTAGCAGCCTGGGAACACTGTCAGCTTCACAGGACACTGTTTCAGCCTCTGGAGGGGCTGCAAAACGGGGAGCGAAGGGATGCGAAGGCAATGCATGAACTCTTACAAAATGCACGTAACCTTCACGTGGGTGGTTTTTTTAGGGCACCCCACAATGGCTTGCCCACACACGTCCGGGTATTCTATTACTGGTGATAGAAGCAGTTCTGTTTTCTGGGTTCTGCTCTACAAGAGCACTTCTCGGGCATTGTGATCCTCTGAAAAGATGCATTTTAACACCTACACCCGTCTGGCTTGCTTGGAAATTTAACAGGGGCAGGCAATTCTCACTGCTGTTTAGAAAGGATACGGCACTGCAAAGTCAAGGAGAGAGAAAAAACCCAGGTGGGTCAGTATCTGAACTGTAAGAAAATAAATCAGCAACCCGCTTCCCCAAACATGAGCTGTAAACCACGAAGCAACACCTCCATTTCCTTTCCTGAAATGCTTTGTTCAAAAGGGAGAAAGAATAAAGAACAAAAGCTGGACACAATGTGAAAGGATTATCTGCCTGAGAAGATCTGAGACTACGCTGTGCAGCCAGGTTATAGAAAACACACGAGATAGAGGGATTGAGGATAAGTTCCCTGCGTTAGCTGGCAGTAACAGTTCTGTGCCATCACTGCAACAGTACCTTCGTACTATATTACAGTTACAGGTCAGGCAAAACATGCGGTATGCTATGAGTGTAGCGCTGTCCTTCAGTTAAGAAGCCTAAAGACCTTTGAGAGTCTTCTTTTTACATATAGAGAAATAATTCAGGTACTGATGAATTCCAAAGGCTTTGATGCTCCTCTCGTTTAATTTATAAATTAAATTTCAGTTGCAAAATGGAACTGACCACGTTTTTTTCCACTAACAAAATACATCCCAGCTTTTATTTCAACATCCACCCAAAATAGCTGCACTGCACATTACTCAGCTTCAATGCAAACCGGGCAAGTTCTGCATCCGTTTCATCTGTTAACGTTTTCTTGATTTCTACTCTTCACTTTCATTTTACACTGCAAAATCCCAAGTGTTATAATCCAAGACAGAAACCATTCAGCACTGAAATCCCGTTTCGTTTAGTCTGAGGGGAAAACAGAGGGATGTCTCCATTTCAAACAGCAAACGCTACTATAACCTGAAATACAGGGAACGTAGCGTTATTCCAAAACTCTTTTCCTCTCTGCTGTTTTGGTAGCTTCCATAAATACGCAGAAGGTTATGGTCTGGTTTTCTTTTTTAGCTAACAGTGGGAAAGAGAAGGGCTCACAAAATGGCAAACAAGTTGAGTAATGCGATATAGGGGAAAAAAGAGTCAGTAGGAAAAGGAAAAGGAATTTGGTTTTATGAGAGGATTTTAATCTTACCGTGCTACAACTAAAAACTGGTCAATCTGACGGTCAGTAAGGGGGCTATCTGGATCCCATACTTTTACTTCCAGCTTTGCCTGTTCTCTGTCATCTAATTCTCCTGTCAAAAGGTAGATGGGACAAAACACTTATTACAATGTTTTCCTCGGTGTATTTCTAGTACTACGTTTAAAAGAGACATTGTACATTTTTAAACATACACACAGTACTTAACAATCAGCAGTTATCCATTTAAATTTCATAAGGCAGCATCAGTAAAATAAATATCTTCCCTTAACATCAGCATTTCAGTTTAAGGAGGCACAGTACCAAAGAACTTTAATAACATGTGATTATAAACGTGAAACCATAACCTGAGTAACCAGCGGTTTCTTTAAATGCCTTCTCAACTATACAAAAGTTACCGTTTCACTTAAGCCACATTAAAATTAATGTTACACTTAGCCAGCTTCAGCAATTAAATTATATCCAATTTGTATTCTATGCCCCAAACCAAAAAGCATTATGAAAAAATGCTGTCTACCACAGTGAATTACTGTTTCACCTCTTGCTCTCAGCCACTACGTTATTTGTATTGTTAACACAAGTCATACTATTAAAATTGCGGTGTACATTAACTAGTTATATCTTCTTATAAGACAACCTGTAAGGCCACAGCACAGGAAGGTTACTATACACTGCATCATCATTTCCCAACTCCAGTTGTGAAGCGTGAGACTGCTGCAACGATCCACATTCCTAGGGAAGCCTAAATCTTGCCTTGACCACTTGACTACTGCACCAGTAACTTACACTGTAAAATGAGAAACACCACAGAGAATGATGAAGTACATTCTACTATATTCCACCACATATTCTACTAGTACGGGAAAATTCACCCGTGGGATGTGGCCAACACATCTGTGGCCACAACAGACGACAAGAGCGAAGTTAAGATCATTGTCTTTCCTCGGTGTTTTATCATCCCAGTGTGTTCTTCCTTCACCGAGCATGTGAAAGCTTAGCTGGCTGCCAGTACTTGTCTTTGACTCATATGAGCGACTACAAGCATAAAAACCTGTTCTCAAATACAGCCATTCCATTTCCTTTGAAAACCTAGGCGTGTGTAGTCTCCCTCTGAGCACACGGATCGCTTTTGTCTGTGCTACTGCTGATGACTTCACAAAAACAGTCACTCTGAACACACAGCATCATCGAGACATGAAATAACCTGTATACTTAAGAGCCTGGAAGCAGACTGCAAGCCAGGCACGCCTCTTCTGAAACCAGCTCATATAGATGGCGAGTTTCTCTAGCACGTTCACTCTGGAAGGAAATGAAAACGCGGTATGTATATTTATCCCTATCAACCACACAAGTTAGAAGTGCACCGTGTTGCCTGGCTAATGCTTCAGGAACAAACTTCACAGTCACATTCTAAGAAAAAGGCAGTAAATTGCTTTCTTCTGATACATAGGCGATCAAGAATTGCCTGCCTAATGGGACTTCTGCTTAAGCGAATTCAAACCCGGTACTGGAGACAAACTGTTAACTTCTGGCAAGCTTGGGTAGGATTTTAGCTCTATAAACTTATTCGGTGGACTACAGACCTGTCAATACATTCATTTTTTCCATCTGTGACAGACGCATTGTGGGGGATGTTCCACATTTTATAAATAATCTCCGAGCGCTTCATTTCAATCTGTTAATATATAAGTTTTTCAACGTCTTTAACGCTAGTTAACCGTTTCAGGACATCACACCCTGGAGATCCTATCGAAACTCGGGCAGGGTGTACTTCCCACAAAGAGGAAACCTCACACTAGCACAGCACAAGCAGTCTAACCGAACGCGTCGCTCTCCTCAAGCAGGTTTGCAAAGAGGTGACCCAAACTGCAGTGCTCCGCATCTTCCTTCAGCTGGAAGCGATTCACCAACTGCTACTGCAAGATGTTGTAACTGGTGATGAAGGTAAACGTGAAATACGGCCAAACGGTGTTTTGTACTGGCAGTAGACATCAACAGCACGTGAGCAATGGAGTATCGCTACCAAAAGAATCCAAACACATATAATGCAGTATTTGCAATATTAAATATTACTGCAACAATGGTAGATAGAAGATTTCAGAAAATACGTGGTTGCTGCCAAACTGCCCTAAAAAATGGCTTCATTCCCCATTTTCTATTTAAATGGCAGGATATTCTCACTGAACCAGGACAAAAGTAGCCTAACAGAGACCGGATCATGGAGGCAGTCAAGTGGGGCTACAGAAACCCCCTAAAAAGGTATGTCAGGAGTAAAGATTTTGTTTAACTTCCTTTTACCGTGTTGACAGAATGGGTACAGGAGGGTCACACCAGCAGGTCTTCTTTTCAGAAGTCTTCTTTCAAACAAGAAACTATAAACCTCCTCTTTGCTCCTTGGGCTGTGCGCCCTTAGTCTACCATGCCTAACTTACTCTACAAGTTGCCACAGTATTAATTCCTTATATTGCAAACTCAAGGACACAAACAGAATGGGGGAGTGTCCTGCTTTAAACCCAGCTAGACGGCTTGTTCACTCACTTCCCCCCCTTCTTGCCCTCCCCCTACTCCCGGAGGGACGGAGAGGAGAATCACAAAGAATGCAACTCCCACGGGTTGAGATAAGAACAGTTTAGTAACTAAGGTATAACACAAATCACTACTGCTACCACCAATGACAACAATGATAAAGGAAATAACAAAGGAAGAGAATACAGCACCTCACCACCAGCCGACTGATAACTCGCCCCCCCCCAGCCCGACCAAGCACCGACCGATACCTCCTCCAACCCTGCAGTCTCCCAGCCCTTCCGGCTAACTCCCAGTTACCTCCTGGGCATGACGTGCTGTGGTATGGAATACCTCTTTGGTCAGTTTGGGTCAGGTGTCCTGTCTCTGCTTCCTCCCGCCTTCCCCTCCTCCCTGACAGAGCATGAGGCTCACAAAGTCCTTGGTCAAACCAAAACATCTCTATCAGCTTTGTTCCTGAGCCGAAAGTCAAAACACTGCACTGCACCAGCTACCAAGGAGGAGGAAAATGACTGCTACTGCTGAACCCAGGACATTATCCACCCCTTACTTCATACCATTCACGTCATGCTCAGACCCCACATTTTCAATATACCCTCACTCTTAGTGCATGGACCAGTCTCTATAAAGCTGCTGAATCCATCTGGTCCATGATGCCAGGCTCCATCTCTTGTAACCGTCTTCCAGAGCAGGAGAGACTGTGTGCAGTGTTCACACTTGTGAATAACCTGGGCAATAGTGTCCATTGCTAAGTCCACCCCTCGATCATGAGTCCATCTCTATGTTGCATCTCTGCCCCGATGGCCTGAAGTGCCATGGGCCCACCAGGCTCAACATAATTCACTGTCCCCTTAAGCAGTTTCTGCAGCTTGTTGCTGGGGACTCCATACAGCTGCCTTCCATCTCCGATGCTTCCAAAGCACTGGAGGGGCCCAGTGGACTAGATACTTGCCCATACTGTCCCACACACCCTGCCACTCATGACTGTCCAGCCTTGGAGAAAACCTCTTGGGTCCCCCTATATCGTCGTCTAACCCCAGACAAGACCCAAACCTGACTCTGCTTAACCTCTGAGATCAGACAAAATGGTTGTGGGTAGAACACACTCTGTGTGTGTGCCAACATGCTGATCCCCATCACGATCAGCAGGCAGGTCCCAAGGATACTCAAAGCCCATTCAAAACCTTCAGAACTCTCACACGATGCTGCTGTGCTTGTCACTGGGGCTGGTGTAGCTGCTGTGCTTGCCGGCTCTCCCACCACCGGCTTCTCTTTTCCTGAGTCCAGCTCTTCCTCCTCTGCCTTGCTGGGAAGTGCTGCGTGGTCTCCTGCATCCTCCTGGGGCTCGGCGGGCGGCTGCCGGGGGATGCTCTCGGCCGTCGCGGGGCTGCGCTCGGCTCCTCCGCGGGGCTCGGCTCCTCCGCCGCCTTCTTCCGCTGCTCTGCAGCCGCTTCCTTCCGCTCCCCGACCTCCTGCCCCGGCAGCCGTCCCTTTGCAGCCTCCGGCCCCGCTCCCGCCGCCGCTTGGTCCCCGGGGCCGCTCTCCCGGGTCGCTCCCGCAGCCGCCGGCTCCCGGGGCCGCTCCCCCTCGGCTCCCCGCAGCCTCACGAAGATGGAGAGTAGGGCGAGGGCCAGGCCGGTGAAGAGCAGCCGGACGGCCAGGTACAAGTCCACGGCCACGTCCGTCCCGTCCTGCTGCTGGAGCCCGCCCTTATTACAAGCCATTGCCATAAAGCACAGTGAGACAAGAACCTTAGCCCAGGCCCCACACTTAATAAACACTAACACACCAAATACCGGCTCTACGTAAGTTACAACATTCTGAAGCTGTGAGATCAAGAGAAACAACTCTGAGAGCCAATAAACCACCATTGTGACGAGTGACTATTAATCCGGTCAGATCTGTCGTTATCTCAACCCCTCGAGCCCCACGTGGGGCGCCAAAAGGAACTGTCGTGGTTTAAACCCAGCCAGACGGCTTGTTCGCTCACTTCCCCCCCTTCTTTCCCTCCCCCTGCTCCCGGAGGGACGGAGAGGAGAATCGCAAAGAATGCAACTCCCACGGGTTGAGATAAGAACAGTTTAGTAACTAAGGTATAACACAGATCACTACTGCTACCACCAATGATAACAATGATAAAGGAAATAACAAGGGAAGAGAATACAGCACCTCACCACCAGCCGACTGATAACTTGCCCCCCCAGCCTGACCAAGCTCTGACCGATGCCTCCTCCAACCCTGCAGTCCCCCAGCCCTTCCGGCTAACTCCCAGTTACATCCTGGGCATGACGTGTGGTATGGAATACCTCTTTGGTCAGTTTGGGTCAGGTGTCCTGTATCTGCTTCCTCCCGGCTTCCCTCCACCCTGGCAGAGCATGAGGCTCACAAAGCCCTTGGCCAAACCAAAACATCCTTGTTATGAGCTCTGTTTCCGAGCTGAAACTCAAAACACTGCACTGCACCAGCTACCAAGGAGGAGAAAAATGACTGCTACTGCTGAACCCAGGATAGGGAGTTTAACTTCTAACGCTTTCAGTGCTGCATCAGAGAATTTGTTTTACAAGCATT